TGTAAATATAAATATCGCACCTATAAAAATTACATATATTGCACAGAAGAGACATAGTTTATTGCATATTTGAGGATAAAACGAAGTTTATATTATTATTATTATTTATTATTATTATTATTATTACTATTATTATTTTAGGAGGGGGAGATTTAGTCTAGTTGCTTAGGGTGGGGGGGTGTGCCTCATGATTTGCTTAGAACAATGACTGCTGTTCCAAATGAATCACCAGGTGAAAATGCATGCACTTATTTTATCATTTATATTTTTATATTGCCCCACTGTAGTGAAATATGGACAATATGATGATATTTATTGTTATTGTGATCAATTACATCACAGCTTTTCTGAGTGTATCGGTACTTAAGGAACACTGAACAACTGCATGTTTAGAAATTAGAAATAAAGCACAGTTTGGCCTGTTTAATTGAAATCAGTGTGGGACAGTATGCAAATTACTGAATAAACTCTTTAACTTACAGTTTTGATAGTGTTTAATGTGGCACTAGTGATGTATGTCTGTTTAAACCTGATATATATTGAATATATTGTGTACTATAAAAATATCTTAGGGGAATTCCACTGATTTTTCAAAATTTGAAACTGACTGACTTAGTTTTCTTTACAGTGGTGGTGATAGGAACCAGGCGTCCTGATGTCTACAATGCAAATATAGCCATTTTACTCACTATCCAAAATCACCAATGAACCTACACGCCTTCTATGTTTTTATATATATACTGTTGATGGTAAAATAGTGACAAAATCTGAAAAAATAAGTTTAATAAGTTTTCTTTGGGGACTTTTTGTCTTACAAGACCATTCTTATATCATTCCACCTTAACTTGATTAAAAATAAATTGATGAAAATGTATCACAAAAATACTACCGTGAAACAGTGTCTCAGACATCAGTCAGTGAATTCATGACCCTTCCATGTAATAACTTGAGGTGTGGACGTCTGGTTCCTATCACCACCACTCTGAACAATTCTGACTCTGTAAGTTTCTCTGGTATGAAACATTTTGCACCAAACCACTCTGAATGATTTTTTTTGACACGTTAACTGTTTAATAATGCAGACATTTTTAAAAATTGGTTCCCCTTTATGTATTGTGACATATTTTCCATGTCACCCATTAGCTGTAGTGCTTTTAATTTGATGAATTCAGATGTGTATATTATTTCCACATAAATATAATCTATTTTATTGACACAATTATTGCCAAAAGTGCAAAAAAATCAAAGGCAAATTAGTGTGGATGGTGTATATTTCATATACAGTCCTGTGCGAAAGTCTTAAGCCATCTCAGAAAAATGTTTAAAGCTATTTATCTGGGCAGAGAGTGTGTGTTTGACAGTAAAAGCTCTATATAACATTTGAATAAATTGAAATAAACAACAATGCAATAAAGAGAATGTGTTGCTTTCAGTAAATGTATTGATGTATAGATTAAAAGAATACATTTAAAAGAACACAGGTTTCGTTCCTGATATCTCGCTGCTCTCCAGCACCTGATTTAATTTAACATTCTGGGGTCCACAAACCCACCCACATGTCAAATTCTCTGTGTCTGTATCTGTATCTGTATCTTTGTGATGATCCAGCTCAGAAATCCAGTTCAAACACTTCCTGAATCTGTAGAGTCGCCCTTTCCGTTCCATCTCATCACGAGATCAAACGAGACTCACATCCAGAGTTATGAGCCTATGAAGAGGGGCTGAGATACACGCCATCTGCCTCTCACCGTGTGGAACTGGTGGATTCGTGTGTCCGTCTACATTCTGTGTAAAACTGACCAATGGACACTCAGGAAAGCAGAAACCCGTCATTCTTCATTCAGTCCACATCGGACACTCATGTGAAAGGCGTGCAGAGAGTTTTCAGCTGCTGAAGCTGCTGCAGCGGTTTTGGAAAGTAGTGATGAAGATAACGGAGCATTTTGATATGAAACATATGAGGATCATGTTATATGAAGAGCCTTTAAAGGAGAGTTGAAGAAGATATGAACAAATCCAGAACACGCCTTTAGACCCCAGAGGGTTGATCACTGAAGGACTGATTAGAAACACTACATATTGGATGGTAACTGTAAAAACTGGACTTCCTCCAGGAGGGATTTGGAAATGGGTTTTTTTTGTTTGTTTGTTTTTTAACAAATAAATGTTGACTGTTCAAATAAATAGCCTTATTTATTTTCTTAGGTGGCCTAAGAGTTCTGCTCAGTGCTGTATGTAGTTTTTATATTAGTGCATTAGTGATAAATATTAATTAGTGATGCTTTAGTGTCTCTCTGTTTTATGAACATGTGGTAAAAATGCATGTATTTTATTCCTGTGTAAATGATGGACACGTCTGATTGAAGTCAGTTTGGTGCTGTGCTGTCAGTGTGCTGTTATGGTGTTTGTAGTAGAGGTGTTTGTAGTAGAGGTGTTTGTAGTAGAGGTGTCAGCGCTGCAGTAAAAAAATGTTTTTTGTTCGTTGTTCTGACGCTGGAGCGCTGGATTGTGTCGAGTCGACACGTGTGTCAGGCTGAGCTTTGTTTCTGTTCATTCTAGAGGAAACCTGACTGTGCTGATCAGCAGATACACACTCTCTCTCTCTCTCTCTCTCTCTCTCTCTCCTCTCTCTCTCTCTGTCATTTCTCTGTCTCTTGCTTTACCATTTTCTCGCGCTCTTGTCTCTCTGTCTCTATCTCTCTCTTGCTTCACCACTTTCTCTGTCATCTCTTACTCTGTCTCTTTCCCTCTCTGTCTCTCTCTCTCTTGCTTTACCATTTTCTCGCACTCTTGTCTCTCTCTCTCTCTATTTCTCTTTATCTCTCTATTCTCTCTCTCTGCCTCTCTCTTTCCTCTGTCTCTTTCTACCTCTCGTGTCTCTCTATTTCTCTCTCTTTTCTCTGTCTTTCTCTCTCTTCTCTCTTTTTCTCTTCGTCTCTCTCTCTCTCGCTTTACCACTTTCTCACTCTCTCATCTCTCTCTCTCCCTTTACCACTCCCTCTCTCTTTCTCTCTCTGTCTCTCTTGTCTTACTTCTCTCTCTCTCTTTCTCTGTTTCTCTCTATCTCTCTATTCTCTCTCATTGTCTTTCTTCTGTCTCTCTCGATCACTCTCTCTCTTCTTTTCTTGCTCTCTCTCTCTCTTTCTCTCCCTCTCTCCAAGGCTCTCCCATTAATCACACACTTACTTTTTCCATTGTTTTTTTTTTTTTGCAGATTTTATTTATTTATTCATGTATTTCCTCATATTTTCATTAATGAGCTTTATTTTTCAGAAAAGGAAACACACTCTTAAAATGTCACACCACATTGTTCGTCTTTATGTATTAACGTCACACACAGTCTCAAAAAAAGGTCCGTCTCAATGTTTATGCTTCAAACGATCTCATAATCAACATAATACTGATAAAGATATGATGACAATCGTAGATAATTTTCTCACATCCTCAGAGGCCGCGTCCTTCACCAAGTTTAGACTGAGTTCTCTTTAAACTCTCTTTCAATCATCAATCGCTTGAGGAAAGGTTCTGAAGAGGTCTCCAAATCCCCAAGACTTGCATATTGTAGCTCTAAGCTGACTGCAGATATTTTCCACAGTCAGCAATCATGTTTGCATCGCAACCAACAGAATGTAAAGTGATGGATCAAAATAGATCTTTTTGGTTTAAATGAGAAGCGTTATGTTTAGAGAAAAACACTGCATTCCAGCATCTGTGAAACACGGTGGTGGTAGTATCATGGTTTGGGCCTGTTTTGCTGTGTCTGGATAAAGAATAAAGTTAATGTTTTGGAATGGCCAAGTTGAAGTCCTGACCTTAGTCCTATAGAAATGTTGCGAAAGGACCTAAAGCAAGCAGTTCATGGGGGAAAGCCACCAACATAACAGAGTTGAAGCTGATTTGTACGGAGGGGCTAAAACTCCACCAAGCCGGAAATGTTTAGCTGCAGTTATTGCTGCACAAGGGGATCCCACCAGATACTGAAAGTGAAGGCTCACGTACTTTTGCCACTCACAGATCTGTAATATTGGATCATTTTTATCAATAAATAAATGTCCAAGTCTAATATTTTTTGTCTCATTTGTTTAATTCAGTTATCTTTATCTACTATTAGGACTTGTGTGAAAATCTGATGAAGTTTTAGGTCAGATTTATGCAGAAATATAGAAAATAAAAGGTTCACAAACTCAATTCAACACAAGCACCAATGTAACAGAACAAAGCTTCCCTGCGCTGTATTTTAGTGCCTAACCTGACTGCAAAACACAGAAAGAAAAACACCATGATCACGATTTATACAGTCCCTATAAATCGTTCCTATAAATGACTAAAAGTAGAGATGATATGTACCCTTGAGGTTACCACACCAATGACAAGAGAGGTGCTGCCCCAATGACAGTTTCATACCCCTCTTTTCACTGGGGTGGAACCCTCAAGGGTCCATCTCAGTACCTTTAGTCAGGGAACATAACTGAACCATAATCCACTGAAATGATATGTTCTAAGCTGTACTGACTCCACACACCCCGTCTCGTCTCCAGGACTTTATTTTACTGTTCTGTTTTAAAACATTCGGTTATGAAAAGGTACAAATACGAACTTTTCACCTGGAGAAACTTATTTAAGGTTCACAATCAGACCTTAAAACCACTGTTGTACCTTTGAGGGAACATTTACACTGTTTGTACCTTGATGAACGAAGAATGTACCTGCACAGAACCTTTACTTCTAACAGTGTGGAGCTCTTCAACTTAATCAAAACTGATCCGGGGTTTTTAAATGTTCTGTCATGTCTTTCTGTGTTCTCCTTCTGTTGTGTTCCCACTCTCCTGCTCTCTCACAGCTCTCCTCTGTTCGTTCTGAGGTGTGTCCAGTGTGGCCCACGTGCAGTGCATGTTGACATTGTGTAGTTTGTTCCAGTTGTTCCTTCCCAGTCTGAAATTCACTCTCTCCCTCTCGTCACTCCCCTCCACTCCTCCCATTTTCCCCCGGCTGTGCTGTAGGAGCAGCGTTTGCGGTATCTGAAGCAGCAGGACCCTCGGCAGGCTGCGTGTGAGCCGGAGAAGCTGCAGAAGCTCAGAGAGCGGGTGGAGAGTCAGGAGGCGAAGCTGAAGAAAATCCGCGCCATGAGGGGTCAGGTGGACTACAGCAAGATCATCAACGGCAGCCTGTGTACGTATGCCTGTATACACTGGGTGGCCACTTTATTAGAAACACCTACTCTCAGTGGCCATTTTATCAGAAACGCCCACAGTACTGTGCCAAAAGTCAGAGAGCACCCTTCATTTATTTAATGTCCAGTCAAAATGGCCATTAAGTACAATTTGTTCATTTTTCAGCTTCAGTAAAAAAACATAAAACATATAAAGGAAAATATACAGAAGCCCCAACAACTAAATCTAATCTCAGCTGTGTGAGTCAGTGAGTCACTTATTCCAGCTTCCATTCTTTTCAGGAGACTCGCTTTCAGTTCCTCAAAGAATCTGCAGACACACCTCCAAAGTTCAGTCTTAGAAGCTGGTTGATCATTTTCTGAAGTAATCAAACACATTCAGTGGTGTTGAGGTCTGGACTCTGGGGTGGTCAGTCCATTGTTCAGCTTCTTTGTTTGATGTGTCCGTCTCCTTTTCTCAGTGAGGTTCTTCTTGACAGCTACACATCCTTTCAGACCCACAGCGCTGCGTCGTCTTCTCACAGTGGAAGGATGGACAGAAACACCTGTGGATGTTTTCAGATCTGAAGCAGCTTGATTTTCTCCTCTCTCTCAGAGATGAAAGCTTTAAGTGCTGTTTATCTGATGGGGACAGTTTTGGTGTCTAACAGGTCTCCCAGGTGGTTGTTAGGAGTCTCATTTTCTTTGCTTTTAAATTTTTGAAACTTACAGTTTTTCACTCTGACTTTCTCAGTCCTAATGCAAGTGGATTATCTTATATCTAATCACCCCACAAATACCTCCTGCATAGTGAATAACTTGTGCTTAACCCCTTAAAATCCCAGGCTTATTACATACTAATGTTTATTATTCAGTAACTACAGGGACTTCAGTGCAAACTGATTGAGCTATTCTTAGATTATAGAAGTGTGTAATAAAGCTTTGGGGCTGCCGGTGGCCTTTTAAGGGGTCAGTAGCTGTTTTAACTGGAAATTAAATAAATTAAGGTTTTGCACAGTATTGTACCATTCATGCCCCCTACCTCATTCATCATTGGTCAGATTCTGACCACAGTTTCTAGCTACATGCCAATAATACAAACAGAGATAATCTATATTTTAGGTTGTAGCAGAAACATTGCATTAGTATGAATGATAGTAAATGGAATAAAGACATTTGCAGGTTACATAGATGTATCCATTACTGGTAAAAGCCAGCATAGCCTGGAAGCAAATCTACTACTTCTACTACTATTACTAATACTACCACTACTATTACTACTACTGCTACTACTACTACTATTACTATTACTACTACTGCTACTACTACTACTATTACTACTACTAATACTGCTACTATTACTACTACTACTACTACTACTGCTACTATTACTATTACTACTACTATTACTATTACTACTACTTCTACTATTACTACTACTAATACTATTACTACTACTACTACTGCTACTATTACTACTACTACTACTACTACTGCTACTACTACTACTATTACTACTACTAATACTATTACTACTACTACTATTACTACTACTACAGCTATTACTACTACTACTACTTCTACTATTACTACTACTAATACTATTACTACTACTGCTACTATTACTACTACTACTACTACTACTGCTACTATTACTATTACTACTACTATTACTATTACTACTACTTCTACTATTACTACTACTAATACTATTACTACTACTACTACTGCTACTATTACTACTACTACTACTACTACTGCTACTATTACTATTACTACTACTATTACTATTACTACTACTTCTACTATTACTACTACTAATACTATTACTACTACTACTATTACTACTACTACTGTCACTACTACTACTATTACTACTACTACTACTGCTACTATTACTATTACTTCTACTATTACTATTACTACTACTACTAATATTATTACTACTACTACTATTACTACTACTATATATACAAATACTATTACTACTACTACTACTACTACTAATACTGTTACTACTACTACTATTACTACTACTACTACTAATACTACGTACTACTACAGCAGAAGCAGAAGAGGAAGAAGAAGAAAAAGATGTCGCCAAACAAAAGCTGGATAAAGTTGTTAGTGAGTGCACACAGTGGGGTTGACAGGGTAGGGCTGTCAATCAGAATATTAGGCCACACCCACACAGTTCGCAGATAGGTCTTTGTTATATTTCTGTGTTTTTTTTCATTCAGACTTTGCTGGTTGTTTATTATAACACTCAGTTTAAGCATCGTACAAACATTTCTTTACAATGTACACTGTGTTCCCTGAGACTTTTAAGACCCATCTATTATCAGCGTGTGCTGGACGCTCCCTCTCAGCCGCAGCTGTGTGTTCTGTAAGTGTTTCTGGAGCATCTGTTCTGCTGCGGGTGTGTGTCGGAGGCCTGGGATGGTTTCTTTGGCTGGAGTAAGATCAAAATTCCAGTGCCTTCAGGCTGACAGCTATTACTGTGCTCCTGGTCATATGACGTATTTGCTATGTGGGTGGACAGCTGTCATTAGAATAATTTTACTGGACATCGCGCTCGCTTCTCAGACACGGACACTTCACTTTGGTCTCAGAGGTCCGTTTGAGAGAGAGCTCATTAACACCACATACTCCTTATGTATATACATTCGCTCTGGTTCACTATCAGGACAGAAACGCTGCTGTATGAGTAACTGGACGCTCTGTGTTTGTGTGTGCAGCTGCAGAGATAGAGCATGTGAGCAATCTGTTCCAGGAGAAGCAGGCAGAGCTGCAGCGCGCGGTGCTGAAGGTGGATCAGCTCACACAGCAGCTGGATGACCTTCGGCACGGACGTCTTAACGGCCTGCAGCCTGTGGGGGCGCCGCTGAGTGGGACGGCCGCGGTGGAGCTCCGAAAACTCTACCAGGAGCTACAGGTACAGCACAATCGATAAGCATGGGAGGTACCTATGTACCATTTTACAATAGGATTACCTTTATAAAGGGTTTTTGAATGGTTTAAAATTAGTATTAGGTCATAAACACCTTAAAAATCATCAATAAGCAGTTATAACACGGGAATGAAAAGGCCAAATAGTGAACTCACTTTCATCTACACTGCACGTTTACATCTTTCGCTGGTTACTTTGTCTTCTCCATCTGTTATACTTGTCATCTTCATCCGATATTTGTTAAGTTATTACCAGGATGTCTTATTAGTTAGAGAACATCATTTGGCCTCCATTCAGATATGAACTTACCAAATTAGTAACTCTTTATAATAAGTGTTGACTTAGTAACGTTAAGTAATGTGTTTGTAACACATGAGGTACTATGTTACTACTATGTTAGTTCACATTAACCCTTTAACATCCCAGTGTTATTACATACTAAGGCTTATTATTCAGTAACTACAAGGACTTCACTGAAAAGTGGTTGAGCTATTCTTAGGTTATAGAAGTGTGTAGTAAAACGTTGGGCCTACCAGCAGACCCTGACCATTTAAGGGGTTAAACTGGACTTAGAGATGGCTACATTTGGTGCATATCTGATCCAAGGTCATTTAGAGATTTATATACAAGTAGAGGCAGAGGAACAATAGAGACCCACAAGTTTCAGTCCAGTAACTTTAGTTCATAATAATAAGAATTAATGCAGTCGTTATTTGTTTACTTAATATTGGCTAAGCGTTATTATTATCATTACCGTTAACAGCTAACCAGAAATAATCCACTGCGACAGTGTGGTCAGAGTTGTAAATATACACTACGTGGACAAAAGTATTAGGACACCCCTCCTAATTATTCAGTTCGGGTGTTTCAGCCACACCCATCACTAACAGCCGGATAAAATTAGGCACATAGCCTTGAAGTCTCGGTAAACAAACACTGGTGGTAGAGGATCGTACTGATGAGCTCAGTGACTTTAAACATAGCTCTGTCACAGGATGCCAACTTTGCCTATCCTCTGTTGAATCTCTCTAAAGATTTCCAGTTAACCTTTGGAACCAACATCAGCAAAAGAACTGCATGTTAGGAGCTTCATTAAATGGGTTTCCATGGTGGAGCAGCTGCACAAAAGCCTAAGATGAGAATGCACAATACCAAGCGTCTGATGGACTGGTGTAAAGCACCACCACTGGACTCTGGAGCAGTGGAAACGTATTCTGTGGAGTGATGAATCAGCCTCTCTATCTGTCAGTCTGATGGACGAGTCTGGGTTTGGCGAATGCCAGGAGAACGTTACCTGCCTGACTGCACTGTGCCAGCTGTAAAGTTTGGTGGAGGAGGGATGATGATATGGGGCTGTTTTTCAGGGGTTGGTCTAGAACCCTTAGTTCCAGTGAAGGGGAATCTTAATGCTTCAGCAGAACAAGACATTTTGGACAATTGTACACTTCCAGCTTTGTGGGAACAGTTTGGTGAAGAACCTTCTCTGTTCCAGCATGACTGAGCCCCAGTGCACAAAGCAGCTCCATAAAGGCCTGGCTGGGTGAGTTCAGTGTGGAAGAACTTGACTGGCCCTCACAGAGCCCTGACCTCAACCCCATCAAACACCTTTGGGATGAACTAGAATGGAGATTGTGAGCCAGGCCGTCTCGTCCAACATCAGGGTCTGAACTCACAGATGCTCTTCTGGATGAATGGGCGGAAATTCCCACAGACTCTCCAACATCTTGTAGAAGCTTCCCAGAAGAGTGGAAGCTGTTAGAGCTGCAAAGGGGGACCAACTCCATATTAATGCCTATGGATTTAGAATGGGATTCATAAAAGCTACTATAGGTGTAGTTTGTAGGTGTCCCAGTACTTTTGTCCATATAGTGTATATCTAGTGACTGATTGTAGATCATCACTTTTTTATGAGTTACCAACAGAGGGCCTCTTTCACCAACATGTTAAGTTTTTTTCTTAACTTTGTTCTTGAGAAAACTCCTACGAAAAAGTCTACGTCAGATTCATGACGTGTTCTTAAACCGCAGGATTGTTCACATCTTGAGTGTGTGTAGGTTCTGTTCTTACCTAAGAACAAATCCCAAATAAGAAAACATTGGTGAGGCCCAGAGTGCCCATCAGTTTGGACTGGGCTTTGTCGCTCAGTGGGATGTTTTTTAATACACAGAGAATGTTTAACACTGTTGATGTCCCTCAGTTATGAAGAGTAGAGTTGGAAATCAAACCGAAGTATCAGGAAGGTTTTCATTCCAAACATAAACACTGTTTTGTGATAAGAAGGACAGACTTCACGGGAGCCTGAGGGAAAAGTGAAGCAGTTTTGAGGTTTCATGCTAGATTATGTGCTTGTCTGAATCTTGTTTATGGAAAAGTTGTTTATGATTCAGTTTGTGTTCCCCAGATGAGTCAGATAAAAGAGCCCCCAGACGAGGGCTAGCATTAATAAACATAGTAAGAGAACATTTGAGAAGGCAAAGAGCGAGTCTAGCAGGGTCAGACAGATAGATGCCGCTTCATCTTGAGGGATGTTTGCGTATATTTGTTTGTTTTTGTACGTTTTCAGGATATAAATGTCTGGAATAAATCAAGACTAACCTGCAGAATCAAAAAAAAGCTGAGTTGTCTTCTGACAGTGGAAGGATGGATACACCTGTGGATGTTTTCAGATCTGAAGCAGAAGTGAAGCTTGATCTTCTGTTTGATCTCTTGTGTACAGTACAGTATATAATTGAAGTGTGTGTGTGTGTGTGTGTGTGTGTGTGTGTGTGTGTGTGTTTGGTTTATGTTTGTTCGGACATACAGATCCGGAACAAACTCAATCAGGAACAGAACAGTAAGCTGCAGCAGCACAAGGACATGCTGAATAAACGCAACCTGGAAGTGACCATGATGGACAAACGCATAGAGGACCTGAGAGAGAGGCTGTACAAGAAGAAAGCTGAGGTGTGACACACTGTAGATAATAACACAGCTTTATAACTTAAAAAGAAACTTCAAACAGTCACCCTCAAATAATGAGTTAACAAATGTAAACCAAATTACTCTGCTAATAACTTAAAACCAGACCTTCTCAAAAACTCAAGATTTTACCAGGAAATGTAGTTTTTATTGTTGATAATTATTTACAGTGTGTAGACAGACAGACACTCAAACACAGCTAAAATCACATTCTTAAGTTTTCTGCTGTTGCTAGTTAACCTGGTTTCTCCTCTCTTCTCTTCTCTTCTTTTTCATTCTCTTCTTTTTCCTTCTCTTCTCCTCTCTCCTTTTCTCTCTTCTCTTCTTTTCTTCTTCTCTTCTCTTATTTCACCTTCTCTTCTCTTCTTTTTCCTTCTCTTCTCTTCTCTTCTCTTCTTTTTCCTTCTCTTCTCCTCTCTCCTTTTCTCTCCTCTCTTCTTTTCTCTTCTCTTCTTCTCTTCTCTTATTTCACCTTCTCTTCTCTTCTCTTCTCTTCTTTTTCCTTCTCTTCCCCTCTCTCCTTGTCTTTTCTCTTCTCCTCTCTTTTCTTATTTTTCCTCCTCTTCTTCTCTTCTCTTCTCTTCTCTTCTTTTTCCTTCTCTCCTCCTCTCTCCTTTTCTCTTCTCTTCTCTTCTCTTTTCTCTTCTCTTCTCTCCTCTTCTCTTCTTTTCTTTTTCATTCTCTTCTCTTCTTTTTCCTTCTCTTCTCCTCTCTCCTTTTCTCTCTTCTCTTCTCTTCTCTTCTCTTCTCTTCTTTTTCCTTCTTTTCTCTTCTCTCCTTGTCTTTTCTCTTCTCCTCTCTTTTCTTCTTTTTCCTTCTCTTATTTTACCTTCTGTTCTCTTCTGTTCTCTTCTCTTCTCTTCTCTTCTCTTCTCTTCTCTTCTCTTGTCTTCTCTTATTTTACCTTCTCTTCTCTTCTCTTTATTTTCCTTCTCTCCTCCTCTCTCCTCCTCTCTCCTTTCTCTTCTCTTCTCTTCTCTTCTTTTACCTTCTCTTCTCTTCTCTTCTCTTCTCTTCTTTCTCTTCTCTTCTCTTCTCTCTGTAGTTGGGTCGGGTGAGTGGTCCTCCCTCTCCACAGCCGGCTCCTGTTAGCTCTGGTCGAGTTGCGGCTGTGTTTCCATATATCCAGGTCCCGGCAATGGGGAGGCAGGAAGGGGGTTACACTTTACCCCCGGACCCCCTCAAACCACACATGCTCTCTGCCCCGATCAACCACACTCGATCTAAATCAGGTGAGTCCAAATCAGCGCTCCTCACTCCAGAGCTGCTTTTGGTCTGTTCATTTTATTAGGAACTCACTCTGGAATTCATTGTGGAGTCTATGTGGGGATTGGGCTGTTGATGCACCGTTCCAGGCTCGGAATGCTGCTTTCCTGATAAACCCTTAAACTCAGAGCTTATTATTCAGCAATGATGTAAAAAAACGCTACTGATTATAGATGCTGTGAATTTCTTGGTCACTATTGTAAATTATTCAGTATCTAAATGGCTCTTTGCATGGTGAAGTGGTCCTTCAGACTGATGTACGGTGCGTTGCAGAACCTTTTTGAAAAGGGTTCCATGTAGCACCAAAAAGGGTTCTGTTGTTGTTACGATGTCCATCTTGTTACAATAGAAGAACGATCTCAGAAAGGTTCTACAACACGTTCTCCATCTATCTGCAGGACCGTTTCACCATGCAAAGAACCATTTCAGCATGAAATGGTTCTGTATAGAGCACACTGTTCTAAGTAGAACAGTTCTGTTTACCAAAGAACCCTTGAAGATCTGTTTTTAAGAGTGTAGTATGAATTATTCAGTAACTACCAAGAATTATTCTTTATCTACTCTAGTAAATGAACTAGTTTTATTCAACCTAAATAAATACTCTGAATGTAGTTTTTTAAGTTGAATAAAACTAGTTTAATTGCTTCGTTACTACATTAAGTACTTTTTTAGGTAGATCTGACGAGCCACTATTTACAGTGTGGTATCTACTGTGAATTAACCACTACAATAAAACTAATATGCAGTAATGCAGTTATGTGAGTGAGGAATGGAAATCTGGACCTGCTGAAGGGTTCTTAGAGTTTAAGGGGTTAAAGATGCACATTTTTGCATTTTCGATGCTCATATCCATTTTAAAGCTTGTGCTGCCACGTATAACACACAAGCGCAGGTTTCACCCAGACTCTGAATGATATGACTGACGAACACTGTGGTGCTGATACGCATCATCTCTTAACGCTGTGTCCATCAGTGTCCAGCCATATGTCCATTTTTCCTGCAGTCTTTACTGTAACAGATAAATTCACTGTTTGTAATAATTAAAAAAAAATCTTTATCCTGAATTTCTGCCCCTTCCTTCTTCTCTTCTTCCTATAATAACATTTAAGTAAGACTCACTCTTTATTGACGGTTGGACAGTAGACTGCAGTGTGTCATCTCTTCCAAAAGAGGGGGCTACTCAGCAAACATGTTTGCTCAAAAATGTGCCGTCACAGATTTCATGCTTGAATTTAGGACTGGGCGATAAGGGCAAAAATCTTATTGCAGTATTTTAGTGATAATTAGTGATAATTGTCTTAATGTCTTGATAATCTTCTTTATCCTTATCCAGCTACTAAAGCATGCACAGCGCCATCTAGTGTGCCGATGTAAACGTTCATATTTCAGGCCTTTTCTGCTATATATATCGAATTGGTAAACAGAAATAAAAGTGAAAATATGTCAAATGTTTGATTTTGATAATTGTTCTTGTTTTATCGCCCAGTCCTACTCATGAACTCGGTCAATAACTCATCTTTTAATATTTTGTTTTCCCAGCTTTTCTGTCTAACACGCCTTCTTTTGTATTCTGTTATGTCCTGCCTCTCCTCCTCCCCCTGTATTCGTCTCTCTTGCTTGTTGTCGCTGTGCTCTGTGGGGGGCTGGGCTGGGTTTGTGCCCGCAGAGGACGATGGGGTGAGGAAGCCTGCAGGCCCGTGGAAGGTCTCAGACTTAGACATCATAGTGGACCCTGTGGTGGCCTCCGCTGAGCCCAGAGAGGGGCCCGGGTTCCCCTCAGGCTCCGACTGTGCCTCCTGTGAGTTCCTGTAGAGGGAAAAGTCCTGACGACAGAGATTTACAGGCCAGACATTTGCTAAGCTAACTTACCGCAAACAAAACACAACACCAGTTTTTGTGCTGTGAAAAGGACAGACAACTGCTGAGCTAACTTAGACAGGACAAAACAAAACACAACTTTTTTGCTACTTTTGTGTTTTTTAAAAGTAATTCAGTAATAATAAGGTTATTCTAAACAATTGGCTAGTTATTGCTGAATATATGGCAGCTTACATACAAACGCTGACATTATGGTGCAGTTTCACTGTACAGACATTTGCTAAACTAACTTACTGCACAGCAAAACACACCATTTTTTCTGCTTATTCATGTGTTCTAAAAAGGAGCTAAGGAAACTTAAGGAAAATCTAACTTATCGCTGTTGTCGAAACAAAACCACTCTCCAAAATGGTAACTTTACAGGAGAAGGAAAAAACCTACTTTACTTTTAATGTAAGTCAATGGAACCAGACTTTTTTCCAAGTCATTTTGGGTTGTTTCTTTTGGTCCATTCATCATGAAATTCACACACAATGTAAAGGATAATGGGTTTTTTCAAATTGTGTCAAAAACTGAAAAACGACAAAAAATGGAGATACGAGGTTTTCGTCCGACAACAGCGTTAAGGAAAATCATGACACCACTTTTTTCTTATTTATGCATTTTCAAAAATGCTGAAATTTGCAAAGCTAACAAAACTTAACAGCATTTTATTTCTATGTATTTTTATGCTCTGAAGGCCCGACGTCTGCTACGCTAACTTATCGCAATGCAAAACAAAACTTTTTTAAAATTTTTGTGTGTTTAAAAGATTCAATAATAAATAAAGGTTATTCTAAGCAATGAGTTAGTTATTGATGTATATATGGCAGCTTACATACAAAATCTGATGTAATGTTGCAGTTTTACTGTACAGACATTTGCTAAGCTAACTTACTGCATGGAAAAACATGATGCAGCGTTTTGCTATTTTAGGTTCTAATTGACAAAAAGGAGTATTCTAAATTACTCACACTCCTAAAAAGTTCTTCAAGGGTTCTTCAGTAAGGAAATTGTATATAGATTTGATTTTAGATAAATTGCATGTAGAACCATAAACGTTCAAAGGACCCTTTGCATGATTAAAGGCTTCTTTGCTTCATGAAAGGCCCCTTCAGATTGATGGAAAATATGCTGTAGATGGTTCTGTATAGATACAGTATAGATATTATTTTTTAATAATAATAACAATAATAATAATAATAAATTATATTTATATAGCACCTTTCACAAACCCAAGGTCACTTCACATAGCAAGGGCAAACAAACAAACAAAAAAAAACAAACAAAAACAAAACAAAAGGGTTCTATATAGCACCAAAAAGGGTTCTTCTATTATAACAAGTTTGATATGGTAACAATAGAAGAACGCTTTTTGGTGCTATATAGAACCATACACAACACATTCTCCATCAATCTGAAGAACCATTTCACCATGCAAAGAACCCGTTAAGCATGCAAATGATTTTATGTGGAACTCACTGTTCTAAATAGAACCATTCCTTTTACAGAAGAACCCTTGAAGAACCCTCTTTTGTAGGAGTGTAGCTATTGAATAATTTATAGTAGTTCTATATAGAACCATTTTCTTTACTAAAGAACCCTTGAAGAACCATTTTTTTAAAAAGCATACTAGGTATTATCCAGTAACTACTAAGAATTAGTCTTCATCTACACACTTAGAAAATGATGGTTCTTTAAGGGTTCTTTAGTAAAGAAAATGGTTCTGTATAGAACCATGAACACTCAAAGAACCCTTTGCATGATTAAAGGGTTCTTTGCATCATGAAAGCCTTCTTCAGATTGATGGACCCTGTGCTGTTGATGGTTCTATATAGAACCTTTTTGAAAAGGGTTCTATATAGCACCAGAAAGGGTTCTTCTATTATAAGAAAGGGTATAGGGTTCTTCTTGCTTGACATGATAACAGTAGAAGTAACCTTTTTGGTACTATATAGAACCATTTTCGAAAGGGTTCTGTATAGAACCATCTACAGCGCATTCTTCATCAATCAAAAGAAGACTTTTTATGATGCAAAGAAACCTTTAATCATGCAAAGGGTTCTTTGAATGTTCATGGTTCTATATAGAACCGTTTTCTTTACTTAAAGAACCCTTGACGAATCATCTTTTTAAGAGTATATATATATATATTTTTTTTTATTAAAACATACATTATTCACATTGCATGCTGCGGTATTCATGTACGTCTATGCACACATACAGACGGACACATTACAGCGGAAACTCACTGCACTGACGAGCATCAACCTGCACTTTAAGCTCCATCTATTATTCAGCTGTGGAAACAGCGCAGGGGTCGCAGTCAAGGGTTGTTTTGAGACTGAGCCGCAAACAAAACCATCTACCGCGCTTCAAAAGGCCTCAATTCAATAGAGGGAAGCTGCAGCTGCCGTTACATAATTCAGTTTATTTTTGTGGGCAGCCTTGAAAACGTTAGCCGGTCAGCAGAAGATTACATCATTGTATTAGACCTACATTACACAGACACAGCACTGTCGTCTCAGTGTCACGGCTGGATATATTTAACATACGTCTGGCACTCTTTCTCTGTCATTCAGATCATAAATCCACTCGCTTTGAGGTGTTTATGCCTTGAAATATGTCTTCTTACATTTTGTTGGATTATTTTCTGACTCGTTGTTTATTGAAACAAGCAGAGAAATTGTGCTGAAGGTGCAGATCTTAAACTTTCAGCCCAAAACACATCAGTGTAATTATGTGCTGTAAATCGAATGCATCGCAAAACAACAATAACTGTAGGCTTTTAAGAGTTGAAGGAGCATTCCACCAATTTTTCAAAATTTCTGCATAATTGAGTGGTCGAGATGTAAACAGAGTGATTCAGAGTGGTTTGGTGTGAAATGCTTCAGATGTCTTTACAGTGGTGGTGATAGGAACCAGGGGTTGCCATGACTACAACACAAATATAGACATTTTATTTACTATCCAAAACCACCAGTGAACCTACACAAGTCTTCTGAGTTTATATAAGTGATGTTAATGATGGGAAAATAGTGATAAATCTGAAACAAATGTATTTTCTTTTACTGTTCTGCCTTAAAATGTCCTGCATGTATCTCTCCACCAAAATAATATTAAAAATAAGTGTGATAAATCAGTGAAGGCAGTGAATTCATAACCATTTCATGTAATAACTGTCTGTGAGGGAGCTTTTAGAGGTGGACGTCTGGTTCCTATCACCACCACTGCGAACAATTCTGACTCGGTAAGTTTCTCTAGAACGGAGCGTTTCACACCAAACCACTCTGAACGACTCTGTTTACGTCTCAACCATTTAATTATGCAGAAATTTGGAGAAATCGCTGAAATTCCCCTTTAAGCTCATAATACTGGGAGGCTTGACGAAAAGGAGGCCAAAGCTGCAGTGAAGCCGCGCACAGCGCCTCAGTAATCTCTCTCTGAGCCGATCTGAGTCGAGGACAGGCCAGAAATACACTGGACACCAGCCTTGATTAGAGGCGTCCTCATGTCTCAGGGGTCAGAGGTGTTTGTCACTATGGTTGGTCAGCGTCTCCGGGTCAGTCTCTGACACGATTAGTGGCCGTGGAGAAAGGGAATGTTTTGTCCATCTGTGTTTCTGCCTCATTCATCCTCTCTCTCTCTGTCCTTCCTGCAGCGAATGATGCGAACTGGCCTTCCTTCACCAAAAGCAAAGCTCCAGACTGGAAGGACACCAGCCGAGACCCGGGCAGCATGGCCGCCGGCGAGAAGGTGAGCCACCAGCAAATGTATTTTGGTTAAAATTGTGAAAAAGTTGCGTGAGCCATAATTTCAGTGCAAACTGATAGTATCAGGAAACAAAATACTCCCAGGCAACACATTCCATAATTCTAAAGTTACCAAGAAAAATAATAAAATTAATTTTACTAGTGTGACCCATCGACCCATCCATAGTAGTGCAGGCTGAAGCCCAGCTGCAGTGTTCTCTGTGTCGCTCTGATAGAACCCGTGATTGTAGCTCTGATGTACAAATACAGCTTTTAACCCTTGTGTGGTGTTGATGTGTTTGTTACTCAGTGGTCTGGTGGACCCACCGCATTATTGTTTATTTAAATCAATGCAGCCATAACAATTTATGTAAAAATACTAGATGTTTAAAATATCACAAGTGGCCAGTGTAGGGTTCTCCTTTAGCAGCTGTAGCCAGTCAGCAGCCTGTCCATGTTGTCCACCCTCACACACACACACACACACATATACAAACACACACACACACACACACACACACACTAACAGCAGGCCATGTAGGAGGAGAACAGAGTGAAGGACACAGCACCTCCACACTTTTACTCCCCGCAGTTTCACCCAACACCACATATGTAATATAAATGTGTGGGGGGTGAACAGAGTGAAGACACTGAAAATGGGTTATTTTATATGTTCTTCACAGAAAATGAGCAAAGGACAAGAATCTGAGGTTGAAATAATAATAAATCACACCAAGAACCCACAAGCTGAATGAAAGAAAGCGAGAGGGCTACAAACGGAAGACCTGAACAATTGACCATATATGTGATATACATGATATGGACACTAATTGACCACACACACACACTCCTTCTGAGAAAACACTTCTGCATATTTTAATTAATAATTACTGTTTATTGGATGAATTTAACTTTGGAAAAAAACATAAAATGTGGCCTGTGAAAAAGTTATATATATATATATATTATATATATATATATATATATAAATGTAAATTATTTCCTACACTTACAGGAGGCTTGAAATTACAAGTCGTTCGCAGTTGAAATGATTCAGTGCATCATCATCAAATCTCAAATTTTACATTTATATTTTGTCATCATTTTTTTCACAGGATTCCCCCAAACTGCTGGGGACAGTAACAGCCTTGTCCAGACAGCCGGCCCCCATCTACGGCACCTACCCCAGTGCGGGTCACCACTCTACAGTCTGTGCCACCAGCTCCCTGCCCCGTTCTGCCCCGGGAACACTGTCCTGGCAGAGAGCGCCCCCTGCCTGTGGATCCTCCTCACAGCAGATCCAGCAGAGAATCACGGTGCCACCCAGCCCCACCTCCACCTCCTCCCTCTTCCCCCAGGCCGACAGAACCGATCCCCTGCTGGCCGTCGCCGTCCGGCCTTTCGTTCCGGACCGGGGGTCTCGACCCCAGTCCCCTCGGAAAGGTCCCGCCACCATGAACTCCAGCTCCATCTACCACATGTACCTGCAGCAACCTGCGTCCAAAAACTACTCCAGCACCGGCAGCAGAGCCGCAGTCAAAGCAGGTAACCATAGCAACAGCATGTTGGAAGAGATTCACACCGATGATGAGAGTGAGTGGTGGAGGTTTATTTTAGGGATGTTTATTCTGGCTAATTTGGAAATTTAGAGTGTTTATAGGAATGGCTGGATGTTCAGTCTGAATCAAAGGAAGATAGAAAAGGACTTTGGGCCGAATCCTGGAGTATAATAGAAAATGAAATTCCCACCACAGTCAGACTTTCCTGGTTGTGTTTTTTAACATAGAGAAATTATAAATGTAACTCTTATCAAGCTGATTGAACTGTTGCACATCCAGACAGTGTTGGCAGACATGACTTTGCTTTCTCAGCGCCGCATTTTCTCCCTGACTTTCCACAGTGCAACATAACTAAACCCAATTAGAGATTTAAACCCATTCGAGGTTTCTAAAGCTGTGAAACTGCTTGATGCATCGTTTTTTGGATAGAATCAAATTCTGTTGCTGGTTTCAAACAAAATGTAAACATCCTGCTGGTGACATCCCATATAAATAAAAACAATGCATGGCCACGCCTTATTAACACATGGGAACAAGATCCTAATGTGTGGCCATGACTTAGTAAGCCAAAAGAATGAGATAATTAGGTCATGGCCACTGCTTAGTAAGGCATGGGATCGAGATCATGCCTTACTAAGTCATGGCCATGCATTAGGATCTCGTACCCATGCCTTACTAAGCCATGGCCATGACTTAATTATCTTGTTTCCATGCTTTACTAAGTCGTGGCCATGCATTAGTATCTTGTTCCCACGCCTTACTAAGTTGTGTCCACAACTTAATTATCTTGTTCCCCTGTCTTACTAAGTCATGGCCACGCATTAGGATCTCATTTCCACATCTTGCTAAGTTGTGTCCATGACTTAATTATCTTGTTCCCACACCTTACTAAGTCATGGCCACACATTAGGATCTCGTACCCATGCCTTACTAAGCCGTGGCCATGACTTAATTATCTTGTTTCCATGCTTTACTAAGTCGTGGCCATGCATTTGGATCTCATTCCCACACTTTACTAAGTCATGGCCGTGCATTAGGATCTTGTTCCCACACCTTACTAAGTTGTGGCCACAATTTAGTTATCTTGTTCCCATGCGTTGCTAAGTCATGGCCATGCATTAGTATCTTGTTCCCACACCTTACTAAGTTGTGTCCACAACTTAATTATCTTGTTCCCCTGTCTTACTAAGTCATGGCCACGCATTAGGATCTCATTTCCACATCTTGCTAAGTTGTGTCCATGACTTAATTATCTTGTTCCCACACCTTACTAAGTCATGGCCACGCATTAGGATCTCATTTCCACATCTTGCTAAGTTATGTCAACGACTTAATTATCTTGTTCCCATGCCTTACTAAGTCGTGGCCACGCATTATTTTTATTTATACAGGATCAACAGCAGGGCTCCATAATTTTTTGAAGAATTGTAATCAAATGAAATAGTTATAAGTTGGAGATTTACACAATTTTCAGTTAATAATCTTATCATTCAGTATCTACTGTAAATTATTCAGTACATATTATGAATTATTCAGAAAGTATCACAAATTATTGTGTATCTATTATAAATTTTTCTTCGTCTGCTGGGAATTATTCAGTATCTACTATGAATTATTCAACAGAGATTATGAATTATTCGGTGTCGACTCTGAATTATTCAGTAACTACAATAAATTATGATTTAACTCTTATGACTCATTCAGCGTAAAGATTTTGGATCTGTGCTGAGAGCTGCACTTACCTGTAAACCCCTTCTCTGGGTCTTGATGTTTACACGTCTTTGCCGAAATATAAATCAGCCTTAAGGAGTTAAAGGTTCACATTTCATATAAAAGTTGCTCATGTTCTTTTTGAAACCTCCCTTTTCTGTGTCCAGTCTATGGAAAGCCAGTGTTGCCGGGCTCTGCTTCCCCCTCCCCCGTACCCTTCCAGCAGCAGACCTCCAGAGATGAAACTGACCGGGACGCCGAACCTGAGGCCACCCCACATCCTCCGCCGGCCGTGGAGAACATCCCCCGCCCCCTCAGCCCCACCAAACTGACCCCGGTGGCCCACTCACCCCTGCGCTACCAGAGCGATGCTGATCTGGAGGTGCTGAGGAGGAAGCTGGCCAATGCTCCCCGGCCGCTGAAAAAGCGGAGCTCCATCACGGAGCCCGAGGGTCCGAGCGGGCCAAACATCCAGAAGCTTCTCTACCAACGTTTCAACACCCTGGCTGGTGGTATGGAGTCTAATGTGAGCGCTCCACCATTTTACCAACCAGACAGCCCACTAAGCCTCATGGGCTTGGACACTGCTAATGGGAGTTTGCTAGAAACAGGTGACCTCGCAGCTCCTTTAGCGGAAGCATCCGCTCCGGACCCCGAACCGGCCTCGTCATCACCCACGGCTGATGCCAATGAAAACCGACTGGCGCATCCAGGCGGTCATACAGAATCCCCTCAGCTCGCAGACACCTCAGCGTCCGCTCCTGAAGACAGCCCTGAGGACGGTCATAACCATAATCAGAATAATCAGTCTGAAGGTGCAGACACGCAGTCCAGCCCAGCGCCGGAAACCCACTCACCTGCAGAGGAGGAAACCACAGAGCAGCCGGGCGGTGCCGCTTCGGTGAGTATAGGTCAGACTTTTACTCTGACCGGCTAAACTCACTGCATCTCCCCTACTTTCTACTTTGCTTTTTAATGTTCATGTTACTAAACATGCAGATAGCCACGTTTATATGAAGGCTTATAATCCATTAATAATCCGACTAATAGCTCAATCGGAATAGAACATGTCCATGTAAACACCTCAGGCTGAATAGTCGAGTCTGATTGAGGCCATTTGGGAATACAGTTTATATCCGATTAACCGAGGTGGGTAATCCTGTAAATAATCCGTTAAATAGAAGAATAATATCCGTGTAAACGCCTGTATCTGATTACATTCCCTATCAGAAAGTTTAAGCCCGTTCTGATCATGTTCGTCGCGTCATAGTGAAAGTTTATACCGTTCAACATGGCGGAGCAGAAACTGGTCTGCAGAGGAGACGAAGTTTATGCTCTGGTCTTTAAAAGACGGCGGTGGGACGGACGTCCAGCTTATGTGTCTCAGAACACGACGTCTTCCTCTCGGCCTTCTTTAATAAGGACATGTGAAGGACGTTTTCCTGAGTCTGACATCATTTTAAAGCAATTAAAAACACAAGCACTGCTCACTGCAGCTCATCTCACTCTGACTGGACTCACGTGATGCTGGTTGTCATGGTAACGTCTACACTAAGCGGTTCTCTACGTATGCACGTAAGTTTGGATCAGATTACTTGTAGTGAGCATGTAAACAGAGATTTTCCATCAGATTGTTGAGTAGAGTGAGAATAAACACCTCAGTCTTAATTTATAATCGGAATGTATTCGATCGGATTGGAGAAAATCATTGCATGTAAACACAGATACAGGAAACCCACACCAGCTGTACAGCATGTATGGTTGGAGTCCTAAATTTCTAAATGTGAAACAATTTTTAAATGTAATCAGTTAAATCTACATACAGATAATAAAAAGGATAACGTTGACAGAAGCAGTTCACTCTCAGAAATAAAGGTACTAAACTGTCACTGGGGTGGTTCCCTCAAGGGTCCATCTCAGTACCTTTAGTCAGGGAACATAACTGAACCATAATCCACTGAAATGATATGTTCTAAGCTGTACTGACTCCACACACCCCGTCTCGTCTCCAGGCTTTTATTTTACTGTTCTGTTTAAAACATTCGGTTATGAAAGGTACAAATACGAACTTTTCACCTGGAAAAACTTATTTAAGGTTCACAGTCAGACCTTAAAACCACTGTTGGACCTTTGAGGGAACGTTTACACTGTTTGTACCTTGATGAACGAGAAATGTACCTAAACAGAACCTTTATTTCTAACAGTGTAGGGATCGCCGCCGCATCCTGAGATGCGTTTAGGAGGACCTATTTTTTAGCAGACAATTCATCTCTTAAATTGAGGACACAGCTTCTGTGTTGAGCTGCTAGTGAGCACTGAGGGGTGAAGGGTGGGGCGTGAGAACCCCTGCTATAAAAAACGTCTTCACAAAGACGGCAGTGCTAAGACAGAGCAGACAACTGCAGCTTTCTTCATATCAAACAGTCCTGTACAACACAATAAACAGCGTGTAAACACAATAAAGATACTTATAAACGCAGGCTCACCTATGAAGACGAAAATCCAGTTTTGTAAAACAAGCACATTTCAATAGAAACGTGTTCATCAACATTAATGATGAAAGCAGTAGTCTGTTTTGAGGGAGCTCTAAAACAGGCGGAAACTGCATTGCAAATGGGTATAAAAGGGATAAAATGACAGTTTATGGCTCTGTTCATTGATCCATACTGTCTCATTTTCATACTCATAATTATACGCTTTATTCAGGTCTGAGTGCAACCATAATCTTATTATGAGGGGAATTATTCACGCTGGCCATGGATCTGTACTGCGTCAGCCTGCATGATGCTGTAATTGTACCAACACTCTCTTCATAATCGCAGGTAAAACGGACCAACCTGAAGAAGCCTGGCTCGGAGAGGACAGGTCACGGCCTGAGGGTGAAGTTCAACCCACTGGCGCTGCTTCTGGATGCTTCCCTGGAGGGCGAGTTTGACCTGGTGCAGAGGATCATATATGAGGTATTGGAGACACAGCCGTGTCACAAGTTGTTCAAGGCCCAACCGCATACCCACAAAAACTAAACTGCGGTTTGTGTTTGCTTGCTATTCATCCAAATAAATAAATATGTGTAATACTTTTCATCTGTACATGAATTAAATAGAATATGTAATGCGATGTCATATGATCATATCACAATTTGGAATCACACTGATTGGGAATGAAATGGGAATAGAACTGTATGGAATTTTAAGAATTTTAAAAGAATTTTGATTTGGAGATTTGAATATAGCTACTTAATATTATATTGACATAAGCCTCCTCATATTTACTGTAACTACAAAGCATTTTACTGATAAAAAGGCTCATTTTGTCCTGGACCTCAATTTAATACTTCTTAACAGGGAATTCCACACATTTTTCATAATTTCTGCATAATTCATTGGATCAGTTGTGATTCAGAGTGGTTTGGTGTGAAATGGTTCAGATTTCTTTACAGTGGTGGTGATAGGAACCAGGGGTCGCCATGACTACAACACAAATATAGACATTTTATTTACTATCTAAAACCACCAGTGAACCTACACGAGTCTTCTGAGTTTTTATATGTGATGATAGTAAAATAGTAAAAAACTGAAAATCTGAAATAATAAGTTTTCTTTGGGGACTATTTTGTCTTACAACCCCTGCATGTATCCCTCCACCATGCATGGCTCTAAAAATGCATTGTTATATTTTCAAAACTATCATAAAACCATGTCTCAGTCATCAGGCAGTGAATTCATAACCATTTCATGTAGTAACTTTCTGTGAGGGAGCTTTTAGAGGGGGACGTCTGGTTCCTATCACCACCACTGTGAACAGTTCTGACTCGGTAAGTTTCTCTAGAACGGAGCGTTTCACACCAAACCACTCTGAATGACTCTGTTTACATCTCAACCATGTAATAATGCAGAAAATGTGGAAAGATGAATTCTCTGTATGAGTTATACATGTACAAGAGGCACACTTCTTACATAATTCTGATACCTTTAAAGCTTCAAAGAGGAACTTCAGAGACAATGAGACAGCCTTCTTGGTTTTAGTGCTTAGTTTGAAGCACTACATGATGTGGTTGGATTATTTGTTATTTGTGGACCTCTTTTATTTGCTGTGATAAGCTGCTGCAGCCGGCTTTGTGTTTAATGTTTTGCCAGATAAGAGAAGAACACAGAATCAAGGGCAGACAAAGGCATCAGTTAAAACAGAACAAGCACAGAAATTTGTATATTAACCCAGAGCCACCACAGGAAAACCCGCTCTCTGCAATCCAGACTATGCAGTTGTCTTTGTCTCCACTATCAATATTTTTCTTAACATTTTATGAGCAGTTTTGCCATCTTTGGCAGTTTTGCCGTCTTTCTGGGCCTGGTATGCTGTGGTCACAGGCCTTTGGCTGAAGAAAGCACCAATATAGCACCACCTGAAGTGTGTTACAGTAATAATGCTACAGCTTTTGTGGGCGAATGAAAGGAGCTTCACAGCAAAATAAGCCACTTTATTGGTAAAACTAATACTTATTATACATATATATATATATATATATATAGCTTTATTGTTATCTTTGGAGGCAATTAAGACACAAAAATTGGTCCCACTTTACATTGTCTCTAATAACTTGTAGTTACAACACATGCAACGAGGGCGTAACTACTGGTAATGTATTCACTGTTAAAGATGGATTACAGTAGTGTGTAAATATACATGGATATCTACAGCTTATGTAAATACTTTACTCATTTGCTCACGTAATTGCACATGTATTAATTGATAGTTGTACAGATTGGTAATCTAGACATTGCGTTTGTGCTAGTATAACACAATACTTATTTAAGAATGTGTTTTAAGAAATTACATTAAAGCCAAAACTTTGGTTCAGTTACCATATCAAAATACATGCGCACCACTACAGTTGGCTAAAAGTTGGTGTTTCCTGTGCAGATATAGTGTAAACACTCTCATAATGCAGGTATTTATACAACTCCTGTTACAATCAAAAAGGTAAAAGAGTAGTTCATAAAAATGTAATGACCCTATTACACATATGTAATTATAGAAGTGAAAATATGCTGTTATAGCCATGAAGATAGTCTTGTGTAGTTATATGAGTAAAAGCTGAAGTTAATACACATGTATTTACAAAAGCTGTACTCCTGGAATCCGTCAGTAACGGTTGTATGCGTTGTAAATGTGTTACTACATAGTTATAAGTGACACTTCATAGAAAGTGGGACCCAAAAATGAATTACCGGAAAGTTTATTTACATTTCATAAGCAACATATGTTCTATTGAAAAGCCACATATCTAAGTTAGCTAGTATTGAAACTTAGCTTTCGTCTTTTCTGCACCTCCATCAGGACTGTGGTGGAAAAATAGCCATATTGTATAATATATACATTATTGCAGAAATGTTTTTGAACATGCATTGTCCCTGTAAATTTAAGCTGAAATAAATTAGGAAATTAGGGTGATTAGCAAATATAGGTGTTCTTCTCGTATGGCAGATGTTTTCAAATAAAACGTCTGAAAGTCCTGTTACATAAAATTTCTTGCTTGTTAAGGCCCAGATAAACAAACTAACATGATGTTAGTGTATCAAGATCAACAGTTAGCTCTCTGTCTTTGTAATCTAATGAGCATTTAAACATTTTATGGCCATTATTTATTGTATGTTAAATACACAAAAAAATCTTTTTGGAAGAAAAAAGTCCTAAAAAAATGTAAAATATCTTTAAAAAATTTGTCCACAGAACGCTAAATTCCTGCCTCTCGATTCCTTCTTTTTATCTGTAAGATAAAAAAAAAATTAATAAATTAAAAATGAAATGAAATGACAATAACCTGTAGTATGTTCTGTTGAGCTAAAGCAATTTACATAAATGTGTGTGATTGGATAAACTGTAACTGCTACAGAAGCCGTGCTGCTTCATCTTTGTGTCACTTGTAAATTTGTAACTACACAGTTATAAGTGACACTTCATAGAAAGTGGGACCAAAAATGATTAACAGGAAAGTTTATTTACATTTCATAAACAACAGATGTTCTGTTGCACAGTCACAGAGCTAAATTACAGGCAAGTATTGTAACCTAGTTACCTGTTATTCACTCATAACACAGAATGCCTCTCAGCCAATCACATTACAGGGTTGGAACAAAGTGGCTATAATACACTGTGTGTTTTCTGTCATATAAAATCACGTTAAACATAAACTTTAGTTAGAATAAGAATAAGAAGAGCTGATGGACCTGTTTCTGTGACTGTTTCCTCAGGTGGACAACCCCAGCACTCCTAACGATGAGGGCATCACGCCGCTCCATAATGCCGTGTGCGCTGGTCACCATCACATAGTGAAGTTCCTGCTGGACTTTGGCGTCAACGTGAACGCAGCAGACAGCGACGGATGGTGAGAACCACAGCGCGTTTTGAACTGATTCTACAGTGAGCAGCACAGAGATCTGGCAGCGTAACACAACATACAAACATATAAACTTACTTTTGGGGTTTCGGACACCAAACTGACACCAAACTGTCACCATAGATCAAACTGTCATCTATAAACATGGACTAAAGTACATCACTAAAAGTAGCAGTCAACGTAAAGGGGATTTCCACTGCTTTTTCAAAATTCTCACACAATTGAATCACAGAATTCTGCTTTTCCTGCTGGTAATTTACACAGAAATACATTACTGAATTATAATAATACATTCATTACAGTGGTGGTGATAGGAGCCAGGGGTCGCCATGACTACAACACAAATATAAACATTTTATTTACTATGCAGAACCACCAGTGAACCTACACGAGTCTTCTGAGTTTACATGGAATGTTGATGATAGTAAAGTGGTAAATCTGAAAAATAAATTTTTGAGGATTATTTTCACTCACGACACCCTGCATGTATCCCTCCACCATGAATGGATTAAAAAAAAAGAAAAGAACAAAGTCTAACAAACATCAGCTCCTAAGCCGAGAGATGCTGCATGAACTAAGATGTTCCACTGCAGTCCTATAAGTTATAGAGTAAGTCATTTTCTGGGAAGATACTTTTACTTGAGTCATATAAGTTGTAAAATACAATATGATACAATATAAGTTGTTTTTTTGGTTTTCTATTTCATTTTGATTGATTTCCAGTGCTTATTTCATTGCATTTTGCTATGTGGAACATGCATCTTGCAGAAAAAGCACCTATTTTCCATATCATTAGTGCTCAATCCTGGTCCTGGAGATCTACCACTGTGGAGATCTCATGCTATGCAGAGGTAGTATGAGTGAAACAGGCCATCGCAAACGTGTCTTAGCTGATCGACTACATTTAGGCAAAGGGGGGAACTGTACACTATATATTTTTGCCAAACTGTTGCTTTAGTGAGTGATGAAGGCCAGCTGTGTTGAAATGTCCCTCTGTTGTGTGTTCAGGACGCCCCTGCACTGTGCGGCCTCCTGCAACAGCGTCCATCTCTGCAAACTGCTGGTAGAGTCCGGCGCGGCAATCTTCGCCACCACCATCAGCGACGTGGAGACGGCGGCAGATAAGTGTGAGGAGATGGAGGAGGGATACATACAGTGCTCTCAGTTCCTCTACGGTGAGAGAAATGCACCTCATTCTGGGTAAAAATGGTCTGTCTCATAAAAGAATAAACACTGGGTTCATGGTTTGTTGGCTTTTCATTGGTCAGTGCTTGTATATACGAAATAGAGGAAGGTAGGAGTGAAGCTTTCGTCTTTTCCGCATCTCTATCAGGACTGCGGTGGAAAAATAGCCATAATGACTTATTTGCAGGAATGTTTGTGAATGTGCATTGACCCTGTGAATGTAAGCTGAATAAAATTAGCAAATCAAATGAAAGGGATAGAAAAGTAGGTGCTGTCCTTGTATGGCAGATTTGTTCAAATAAACCTTCTAAAAGTCCTGTTACATCAAATTTCTTGCTTGTAAAGGCGCAGATTATCTAATGAGGCATTAGCCATTGTTTGTTAAATAAATAAGTAAATAAATAAGTATTTAGTATGAATAATCTTATTAAACATTCGTCCACAAAATTGCAAAATCCTCAATTTCAAAAGGCAAAAAAAGACATAAATACATTAAAAATGAAATGACAGTAACCTGTAGTCTGTTCTGTTGAGCTAAAGCCGTTTACGTAAACGTGTGCGATTGGATAAACTGTAACGCTGTTCTGCTCCAGCAGCCGCGCTGCTTCACCTTCATGTTGCTGAAATCCGACCATTTTTAAAGACGTTAATCGGCTTTGCTACAGAATTCTTTTCAGGCACTCAGTTCAGTATATATATAATTTTCTGGGTCCGAATCCTGACTGTGGTCTCCCAGTCAGCAACCCCTGACATCCCCGACATGTGGGTAATGAAATAAAGGCAGCAGCGTTTGCCATTCGATTGTCGGCATTTTTAAATGATCAGTGTCCAAATATCACAACAAGCAATTATTTTATATTGTTATGTATAAAAAGCAATCTTTACATTACACAACAATATGTGATTTATTTATTTTTTATTCCCAATTACCCAAAAATAAATAACTACAGAAAATATCTGTAAAAACTTGAATATCTGTATAAATATGAACATGATTTTAGATATCTGTAAGAATATGAATATGAGCCTTGCTATCTGCATAAATATGATAATGAGCTTGGACACCTGAATGAATATGAATATGAGCTTGGGTATCTGTATTAATATTTATATGAGCTTAGTTTTCTGTCTGAATATGAATATGAGCTTAAATGTCTGTATGAATATAAATATGAATATGAATATGAGTTTGAATGTCTGTATGAATATAAATATGAATATGAGCTTGAATGTCTGTATGAATATGAATATGAGCTTGAATATCTGTATGAATATGAATATGACCTTGAATGTCTGTATGAATATGAATATGAGCTTGAATGTCTGTATGAATATGAATATGAGCTTGAATGTCTGTATGAATATGAATATGAATATGAGCTAGAATGTCTGTATGAATATGAATATGACCTTGAATGTCTGTATGAATATGAATATGAGCTTGAATGTCTGTATGAATATGAATATGACCTTGAATGTCTGTATGAATATGAATATGAATATGAATATGAGCTTGAATGTCTGTATGAATATGAATATGATCTTGGCTGTCCTCTCTCCCAGGTGTGCAGGAGAAGCTGGGTGTGATGAATAAAGGTGCGGTCTACGCTCTGTGGGATTATGAAGCTCAGAGTGCGGACGAGCTGTCCTTCCGCGAGGGAGACGCTCTGACGGTTCTGAGACGCAGAGACGACACCGAGACCGAGTGGTGGTGGGCGAGACTCAACAACCAGGAGGGATACGTCCCCCGAAACCTGCTGGGGGTAAGAGGGGCCTGAATCATCTCATACTTGCCTCAGTTAAAGGGGGAAATGTTCAGGCTCTGTGGAGTGTCTTGATCTCAGTTCACGTCATTTGATACTGAGTATCAGCAGAAACTGTGCTCAACCTGATATTTGCATAACGCCACTCAGTGCACAATTGAAGTGCATTAAAGTTAAAACTATAGGTAAAACTATTCCTGTCTAGGTAAGACATGCTACGCCTGTCAGGTACTTTAATTTTAGCATGTAATACCCAGTGAATAGACTGCTTTCATAGAACTGCAGCTTGCTTAAAGCAACAGATTGGTGAAAAATCTAATTTACAGTTTTATCCTCATCACAAATGTAGCTGATTGGCCTGTTTCTAGTTCACAAGACACGGTTCTGTAAAGCTTTAGAGCAGCAATTCAACAAAGACATGTTTGGTATCTGAAGTTTGCTTTTATTTTGTTTTAGCACTGGAGCTACAAGGCTAATGTGGCTAACAAGCAATGAAAGCTTATTCCCACCAATTAGCATAGTGCTAAAAACATGCATAAATCGTCACTCTTACCTCAAACTGTGTGGAGCCTTTGAAAAGGACGACATTTATACATAATCCAATTTTTTTAAAATTAAATATAATATTTAAATTAGATAATAAATATATGCTCATATATTCAGATTTCTTTACAGTGGTGGTGATAGGAACCAGGGGTCGCCATGACTACAACACAAATATAGACATTTTATTTACTATCCAAAACCACCAGTGAACCTACACGAGTCTTCTGAGTTTTATATGGAATGTTGATGATGGAAAATAATAGAAAATTAAAAAAAATAAGTTTTCTTTGGGGACTCACAATGACCTGCATGTATCCCTCCACCATAAATGGATTTAAAAAATAAGTTGTGGGCCAAAATCTTCTCAAAACTATCATGAAACAATGTTAAAACTTGTAGAAACATCTTTTCATTGGGGACTATTTTGCCTTACAACCTCCTGCATGTATCCCTCCACCATGAATAGATTTCAAAAATATGTTTTAGGCTAAAAAGGCAGTGAATTCATAACCATTTCATGTAGTAACTTTCTGTGAGGGAGCTTTTAGAGGTGGACTTCTGGTTCCTATCACCACCACTGTGAACAGTTCTGACTTTCTCTGGAATGACGCATATCACAACAAATTACACTAAATAAGCTTGTTTACATTTTAACGGCAGAATTGTTTATGAATGAATGTTGATGATGGTAAAATAGTGGAAAATCTAAAATAATACGTTTTCTTTGAGGACTATTTTGCCTCACAACACCCTGCATGTATCCCTTCACCATGAATGGATTAACGGAAAAATATATTTATACAATTTAGGCCAAAATGATCAGGCGGTGAATTCATAACTATTTCATGTAGTAACTTTCTGTGAGGGAGCTTTTAGAGGTGGACGTCTGGTTCCTATCACCACCACTGTGAACAATTCTGACTCGGTAAGTTTATCTAGAACGGAGCGTTTCACACCAAACCACTCTGAACGACTCTGATTGCATTTTAACAACTGAATTATTTTGAAAAACTGAAATTCTCCTTTAAGTAATCTCTATTAGACTTGATTATGTGGTATCTAACACTGTAGGAGACACTGTTAACTAAACATAGACAGACAAAATTCAGTCTTCCAGGTGGTTGCTACTGTTTTAGCTGTGCTAATGTACTTTAGTCCATGTTTATAGATAACAGTGAGTCATTCAGTGTCAGAAACCACAATCAAGTCTATTAGAGATACTGAACAACTATACACAGTTTGAGAGAAGTGAGGATTAAGGCCTGCAGTTAGCACCATGCTAATTGGTGGGTATAAGCTTGTATTTGGGACATCCCCATCAAGCACATCTGTCAGAACTGCTGTTCTGATTGCACCTTTTTCTTCTGTCGTTTGCGCAGTTGTATCCGAGGATCAAGCCCAGGCAGCGTTCTCTGGCCTAGTGGTCATAAAAGAGAACGCAAGCCTGTTCCTGAGCTCGGTGTGGAGCCGCAGCTGGACGCTCTGCCCTGGCTTTGCCCTCTTCGTGCATCAGTACCACCCCAGTCACAGAGTCCAGAGGGCACGGCAGAGAGTGGACGGAGCATGGAGCATGTGTGGAGACTTTTATTTAGCTGCCAGAGGAGATTCGGAAATCAATGGGAGCCTGTCTTCAGTCTGCATCCCTGATTTTATTTATTTGTCGCGTCAGCCGAGTTTACTCTTTCACCCACATCCCTGTTGAGGAGTCCAGTAGATTTCCCGTTTCCTTTCCCAGACCGTGCGTGAGTACGTGAGCGTTTTTGTGGGATGTGAATGTGATGACAGTCAGAGAAAGAGGATGCAGTGTCGAGTTCCTGGTGCGTGTGAGAGTTTCGTGTCCTGGACGGAGGAAACCGCGAGGGACATGTCTTTCGTCTCCTGCGGTGACAGAGCGGCTGATTCAGAGAGAAGGAAGGAAGGAGTTAGAAAGTGAACAGAAGGAAACCTTGACGCGAGTGAAAGTTACTGAAAGATGTAGAGGAAGAGTCCTGGAGTGGAGACATGCATGTTTTTATATGTGGAGGGGTTTATTTGTGGGGTTACACTGCAATGAGTTATATTTTGGCAAGTGAAATCATCATAAATCATCAATACGTCTAATATTTCTCATTATAGTTGTAGGAATATTATTGTTAAAGGGCCCATATCATGGAAAACTCACTTTTTGGAAATATTGACGTATTAATTTAACAATGCAAATTCTGCAAAATTCACCGTTCAGTCCATACAGTCCATAAATGGAAACTAAGCTGTAAAAGCAGCCAGTTTTGAATTCACTGTTTTTGTGATGTCACAGAAAACAGCCTGGACTGCCTTTGAATGAGGGCAATAGATGAACGAGCCAATCCGAACACAGCTTATTTACATATTTCAGTCTTAAAGGCACGGTAACAAAAACAGCCTGTTTAATTCTGAGGGATGGAAAAACCTTTAGTGTTCGGATTATTCAGCATATCAAGTTATTCCAGCTACTGAAATTGTCCTATTGGCATAATATTTCCCTTGCTTTGAGAATTAAGGTGGAAAAAAATCACCATTCTTTATTTAAACTTAATGCACAGAATAAAAGCAACAAAAAAATAATAAATGAAGAAAAAAAGGCAGTAAAATCCAATAATAAATGATAAGATGATGAATAAAACAGTAAGATAATAAAACATTTGTTTACATTCCAAATTATTTACTATAAAATGGTTTGAATAAGATCATTTCACTAAATAAAGAAAATGAAGTGACTTAAAATGAGTTAAAATATGTAAGCATAAGTAAATCATATAATACTCTTACAGCCATCTCAGAATGAGAAATATTATACATATAAACCAGATTTAAGATGCTTTCACTTGCCAACATATCCTTTTTTCCAGTGTGAGGAGTTGGTTAGGAGTGGAATTATAGTATGTTTTATAAGAGATGCTCCTATGAAAATGAAATATATTGTTATATCTTGACAGTATATTGCAAAATATAAATAGAATATATTGTAATATATTTTCAATATATTACTTTTTGTATGGATGCTGCCAGCGAAGTGGTGAAAACCTCTAACAGGCAGTTCGTTTTTCACTGTGCAGGAGAAGCTGAGCATAAATACGCCTGTGTTTATACATGAGATGGAACTGAGGCTGGTTTTATATGAAATATATCTCTCTCTTTATTTTAAAAGCTGTTTATAACGCAGACGAGAGGAACCGCTTTAAAATGCTTGACACCTAAATATATACGTGTGCCTGTACAGTGGGGCATATACACACCGTTTACGTCTCATGTCATGTAAATGTGCACAATAAAAGGGTCTCGCATTGGAACAAATCAGCACTGTGTGTTTGTTATTTGAGTGTTTTTTATGTTTTTTATTTATTTCTATAGTCAAAATAACAGCATTTTGGGTATTTCTAACCATATATATATATATATATATAAAATATGACGCACACCGATCAGGCATAACATTATGACAACCTCCTTGTTTCTACGCTCATTGTCCATTTTATCAGCTCCACTTACTATATAGGTGCACTTAGTAGTTCTACAGTTACAGACTGTAGTCCATCTGTTTCTCTGATACTTTGTTCTTCAGTGGTCAGGACCCCCATGGACCCTCACAGAGCAGGTACTATTTGGGTGGTGGATCATTCTCAGCACTGCAGTAACACTGACGTGGTGGTGGTGTGTTAGTGTGTGTTGTGCTGGTATGAGTGGATCAGACACAGCAGTGCTGCTGGAGTTTTTAAACACTGTGTCCACTCACCGTCCACTCTATTAGACGCTCCTACCTTGTCAGTCCACCTTGTAGATGTAAAGTCAGAGACGATAGCTCATCTGCTGCTGCACAGTTTGTGTTGGTCATCCTCTAGTCCTTCATCAGTGGTCACAGGACGCTGCCCACAGGACGCTGTTGGCTGGATATTTTTGGTGGTGCTATTCTCAGTCCAGCAGCGACACTGAGGTGTTTAAAAACTCCAGCAGCACTGCTGTGTCTGATCCACTCAGACCAGCGCAACACACACTAACACACCATCACCACGTCAGTGTTACTGCAGTGCTGAGAATGATCCACCACCCAAATAGTACCTGCTCTGTGAGGGTCCATGGGGGTCCTGACCACTGAAGAACAAAGTATCAGAGAAACAGATGGACTACAGTCTGTAACTGTAGAACTACAAAGTGCACCTATACAGTAAGTGGATCTGATAAAATGGACAATGAGCGTAGAAACAAGGATGTTATGCCTAATCGGTGTAATTTTAATCATGATTGTTATGTGTGATGACATATTTATAATCAATTATGCAGTTTCTTTTATTAAAAACTTTCTTTTCTCAAGATGAGTAAAGTTGCAGATGAGAGAACAATAACATACAGGGTAACTACAGCTGTAAAATAGGTCCAGATCATAGAAACCTGAACTTCCCTCGCTTTTTTTAATAAACATTGAATGTAAATGTTGAAAACATACCACTCACTCTCCAGGCCTTAATGAAGCCAGGTTTGAATCCAACGTTTTTGTGACGTCACAACATATCAGCCTATTCAGCCTGCAGCAGTTTAGCTCCGCCCACTCACCCTGACCTCATGAGGAGTGTTTTGGTCTGAAATCCTTTTTGAATGTGGCATGATAGAGTGCAGCCAATCAGAACAGAGCTAATTTGCATATATCAGTCTTAAAGGCACAGTAACGGAACAGCCTGTTTAATTCTAAGGGATTAAGAGAGGACAGAAAGATGACATACGACTTTTTGGCTCATAAAATGAGACAAACACTGTAAGTGGATCTCAAGGAAACAGGTAGGATATGATTCAACCTATTTACAGTTGTTTGTTTCTTGTTTGAAATATTTTTATTTAGTGAAAGTGTCACGTTCCATTGGTAGATCATATTGTTTATTTTGAGGTGAATGCTCATCTTCAGTGTAAATGAGCATCAAAAGGGGAAAAAAAACAACAAAATAATAATAGATTAAGAAAAGGACAACAAAGCCCAATGATATATATGTAATTTACATATATCAGTCTTAAAGGTACAATATTAACGACAGCCTGTTTAATTCGAAAGGAATAAAGAGAGGTTGCAAAATTCATTTCAAAATGAATTGAATGTTTTTGGTAAATTAAACGACAGAATTACATCAGAAAATCATACAAGAGAGGTTTAACATGTTCGGCGTGAGTGATTATTTTTCAGTATTGTTTATTCAGTTAATAGTACACTAAATATGCAGTAATGCTGCTTAAGGTTCAGCTTGTCTCGGATTTATTGATGTTTCAGCTTCTGAACCACATTGTTAATGAGTTTATATAACCAGCGCAGTCAGTCAGCGTCTCTTCTCAGCTCCTTTCACTATTGATGTTTCATAACTGCTCATTAAAATCACTGATAAGGGAACCTGCCAAGATCACTGCCAAGCTGAGAAAGCGCTTATTATTATTATTGTTATTATGAAAGAAACTCCGACCTGCAGCATTTATAAAATTCAGAATTCAAACAAAGAGGTTCTCTCTCTCCAGAAAAGCCTTACAGCCAGGGACATAGTAAAAATACAATAATTTAGAAAAAAAAATGAATTTTGTGTGTATAAAGTCTAAAATGGTCCTGTGTTGGTCAGATTCATTCAAATAGTATTTGAATTGGCTCTAGATCTAGATCAGAAGTGCCCAGACTTTTTGCCCTGGGGGGATGAAGTGTAATGTTTGTGATTTTACTGACTTTTAAAATCATAACAGATTTCTAAAACGGAGAGCATCACAAACTTAACATCAGTTTGTCACAGAATTTCTTGTCTTTTTGTTGTGAGGCGCTCAGACTAGACGACAGGACAAAGAGAGAGAATAAAACACATAAGTTAAATGTATTCCAGGTTTCTCAAACACTAGAGGGCGCCCAGAGCGATTCCAAAATGAATGGGTTAAGATGGAGCATTTGAGTGAAATCATAGTTTATTAATGCTTAAACATTTTTAATATAAAATAAAATATTAATTTGCTGAACAGTATAAAACATTTTAACACTGCTGTTATATTTTTAAGCTTTTAAACTCGAGTTATAGGGGTTTAAAATGGTGCCTCATGTACATTCATGAGGTCAGTGAGCGCAAACAGCCAATCAGCTGCACCGCTCACTAACCAATCAGTAATGTTAGCGTCCTGCTGCCCAAAACCCGTTTGCTGTATAAATAAGGAAACATACAGGTCAGTTTTCATTGCTTTTTCAGTGAAATCCATCCTTCTACTGTCTAACATTAAAGGAAAGTTCTGGTTCAGTGATTAGAAACTATTTTAACTTTTCTTTTATAATCAGTTGAGCTTCATTTACTCCCATTCATTGAGGACTCACTCGTGGGCGCCCTCTGCTGTTTAGCAGTTATGTTTTCGATATAACGGGGGAAATAGGAAGAGGCCAGACTCCTCATAAACCAGCTCTGGTTAAAATCGAGCAAAAAGCCATGTAGTGTACGCCTAGCCATGCAAACTCCAATTCCCAAGAGCCCTCAGTTTGTCACGTGACTCCGCCAACCAATCACCAGTCAACCAGCAGATCCCAGTCATGTGAGTACTGACTGATTTCACCTGTTTGCCTGTGTATAAACGTGGGTCTGTTTCTTTGCGAAGTATTGCTCCTCTTTGTACTGAGCCGAGCTCTTGTTTGGCTGCTTATCCTGTGACTTTACTTTGTATCTTGTAGGTTTTCTGATTTACCCCTTTGGCTAAGATTACCTGTTTATTGGCTTTTTGGTTTCGACCCTTGCTTGTTCATCTACTCAGGTTTTTTCCTCATTCTATGTATCGTACGGAGCCCCGCTGGTGACATCTTGTAAAAATAAAAATAATGCGTGGCCACGACTTAGTAAGGCATGGGAATGAGATGATTAAGTCGTGGCCACGACTTAGTAAAACGTGGGAACGAGTTCCTAATAAACGTATTAAGCCGTGATCTCGATCCCACGCCTTACTAAGTCGTGGCCACAACTTAATCATCTCATTCCCACGCCTTACTAAGTCATGGCCACGCATTATTTTTATTTATACAAGATGTCACCAGCGGGGCTCCAGAGTACCAGGTTTTACTATTCTGGTTTTTGACCAGAGGGATATTCCACAAAGCAGGATTGCTTAGTTTAGCTAGATAACTTAAGCCCAAAGTCAAGCCTGTTCATTAAGAAAAGAGCAGAGGGACATTCCCATTGGACAGTCCTCATCTTTGGGCTTAGGTTATCTGGCTAACTGAGGAATCCTGCGTCGTCTGGTGTGAACCCTGGTCTTCTGGATGATCCTGCTGTCCGAAAAAACGTATGGTTTATTTTAAATCCACAAGTGTCTGATCCGTCAGCCCAGCGTTACAGTATTTATTGTATTTATTGTATTTATTTTTTTATTATTGTAATTAAAATACTTTGACATCACATTTTAAAAGTGAAATAAGAATTTACATAGAGTATTAAAATATGTTTATCTTCTCATCGGATGGGGGAGTGAGGTTACGATAGCATTCCAGGTCACGCTTTTACAGAGGCGTGCTCTATTTTTACTTTGTGAAATGAAATATTTAATGTAAACAAACTAACACTAACATTATCTTGTCCTAAGTGTTCATTACATCAACATTCAAATTAGCCTTTTGAACTTAATACCATACAAAAAGGTTCACTGTCTCCAGAGAAGAGTTACAGACAGAGAAGTAGTAAAAATTTCAGTAATTTACAAGAAAGTAATAAATTATGTGTACTGAGTGATTTTTATTAGTATTATTATTACTAAATAAAGCCTATAATTTCCTTTACCATTTATGTTCATTAATATTTGCTTTAACTCCAGGCCGTTTTTAGAGGGTCAGACCTAAAAATAATCATTCAGAGTGGTTTGGTGTGAAATGGTTCAAATGTCTTTACAGTGGTGGTGATAGGAACCGGATGTCGCCATGACTACAACACTAATACAGACATTTTATTTACTATCCAGAACCACCAGTGAACCTACACAAGTCTTCTGAGTTTATATGGAATATTGATGATGGGAAATTAGTGGAAAATCTGAAAATAAAAAGTTTTCTTTGGGGACTATTTTGACTCACAACATCCTGCATGTATCCCTCCACCATGAATGGATTTTAAAAATATGTTTTTGACCAAAACCCCCTCAAAAACAATAAAACAGTGTCTCAGACATCAGGCAGTGAATTCATAACCATTTCATGTAGGAACTTTCTGTGAGGGAGCTTTTAGAGGTGGACGTCTGGTTCCTATCACCACCACTGTGAACAGTTCTGACTCGGTAAGTTTCTCTAGAACAGAGCGTTTCACACCAAACCACTCTGAACGACTCTGCTTACATATTAACCATTTAATTGTGCTGAGTTTTTGAAAATTCAATGGAATTCCCCTTTAACATCGATCTTGTCTTGCACAAGCAGTTTGCTGTGCTGCTCAGAGCTCGTTTGGGAGCAAACTTGCTTTATCTAGGCTTAACCTGCCAGAGCACACTGACTCAGCAGCCTGCCACTGGCAGAGGCCCAAACCTTTAGACCAGGGGCTAAAGGGTGTTTCTTCGTCTTCCCTTCTTCATTCTCCTCCATTTTGCGCTGCAGGCGTTTCCGTAGCCATGTCGGACGTTCAGGGATTTCACATCAACTCTCCTCTGATTGAAAGCACTGCCATGGCCAAGCGGCTCGGCACCACCGTGTACCTGAAGATGGAGAGCTCGCAGCCGGCAGGGTCGTTCAAAATCCGTGGAATCGGACACCTGGTTCGCAAGGTGAGGAGGAACACTCAGTCCTGTAGATGGACAGATGCCTTCCAGATGACCTAGTTTAGTGCTGACAACACCCAGTTGTTTATCTATTTGCACTCGTTTTATCTAGAACTGTGTTCTGTTCTTTTCTGCTTTTATAATCCAAAGATCTGGATCTGTTTACCTGCTCAGACCCATCAGACACTTCCTGCTCACAGTCCAGATCTTATTTATTCACTTCAGTTTTCAGTCAGATTTTGCTTTTTTGAATTGCTCCTTCACTTATGCTTCTTCCATTTAACCACGTTGTGTGAAGCACCCTGAGCTGCACTTCTGTGTATGAAGAGAAATTTAAAATTTCAGTGTGTGAGATGTAAACAGAGTGATTCAGAGTGGTTTGGTGTGAAATTTCAGATTTCTTTACAGTGGTGGTGATAGGAACCAGGGGTCGCCATGACTACAACACAAATATAGACATTTTATTTACTATCCAGAACCACCAGTGAACCTACACGAGTCTTCTGAGTTTATATGTGGAATGTTGATGGTAAAATAGTCGTAAATTTGAAAATAATACATTTCTTTGGGGACTATTTTGACTCAAAACACTCTGCATGTATCCCTCCACCTTGAATGAATTGAAATAAATGGATTAAAATACATTATAAGCCAAAACTGTATCACAAAACTATCATAAAACAGTGTCTCAGTCATCAGGCAGTGAATTCATAACCATTTCATGTAGTAACTTTCTGTGAGGGAGCTTTTAGAGGTGGACGTCTGGTTCCTATCACCACCACTGTGAACAGTTCTGACTCTGTAAGTTTCTCTAGAACGGAGCGTTTCACACCAAACCACTCTGAATGACCCTGTTTACATCTCAACCATGTAATAATGTAGAATTTGTGAAATTTGAGTGGAGTTCCCCTTTAAATGTCTTGCTGTGAGTGTACAGTGCCCTCTAGTGCCTGGCACTGTTACTGCACCACACATACTAAACACCTTCTGTCTTCAAGCTTGCAGGTTCAAACTCGCATGGTGTGGTCTGTTCTTCAGGTGCGTAAAATTATGAAAGCATTAAAATTTCTTTATAATTCTTGTCACTTTGATCTCTTATGGCATCTAGACTTCAGTCTAGATCTTGTGTTTGACCAAATTACTTTGCCAGTGCAGATTCTCTATTACCAGCAGTCAGTCTGTGTCCATTCTGCTGAAAAAAATCAAAGAAAGCATTAAAAGTTTGGTTCCTGCTGGTGTCCAATAGTCATTCTTGGTGTTTGGTGTTTTCCTGTTGGGTTGATATCACAGTGTAAAGGTCTCTAATGGTTTAACGGGTGTTTGATGTGTTTGATGGTGTCCTTTTTTCAGCAGGGCAGAAAGTGTCCTCACACTGTGATTGTCCAATACAGGTGGAAATGCAGGTTTGGCTACAGTGTACGCGGCACGTAAGCTCAACATCCCGGCCACCATCATTCTGCCGTCGTCCTCGCTGCAGCTGGTGGTGGAGAAGCTGCAGGACCAGGGGGCCACAGTGAAAGTGGTGGGGAAGGTAGGAGAGACAGCAGAATAATTTATTCTGTTTTATTTTATTTTACATGTACAGTAGTGCTAAAAAAAATGGAATTACTTCTGATTTTAATTACTAATTATTTTATTCAGATATATACGGAAATCTGGAGAGGCCAGGAGCTGTTGATATAATTTCCTGGATTGTTATCTTGAGATCACAAGATAATTGACTCATGATCTCAAGATCTCATTGTTAACTCATGATCTCAAGATAACAATTTTGTGCTATTGAGATCACAAGATAATAACTTGTGATCTCAAGATAGCAACTTTGAAATCACAAGATAATTAACTCATGATCTCAAGATAGCAACATTGCAATCACAAGATAACTCGTGATCTCAAGGTAACAACTTTGAGATCACAAGATAATTAACTCATGATCTCAAGATAGCAACTTTGAGATCACAAGATAATTAACTCATGATCTCAAGATAGCAACTTTGAGATCACAAGATAATTAACGCATGATCTCAAGACAGCAACATTGTGATCACAGGATAATTAACTCGTGATCTCAAGATAACAACTCCGAGATCACAGGATAATTAACTTGTGATCTCAAGAGAGCAACTTTGTGATCTTGAAATCACAAGATAATTAACTTGTGATCTCAAGATAGCAACTTTGAGATCACAAGATAACTAACTTGTAATCACCAGATAACAACTTTTGTTATCTTGAGATCACAAGATAGTAAAGTCGTAATCTCAAGATAACAATCCCAAAAATTATAGCCACAGCTCCTGGCCCCTCCGGTTGTCCGTATATATACGGTGTCTATTGGGATATTGTAAAATAGATACAGGTGGTCGGTGTGTTTTGAGCAGGTGTGGGACGATGCGAACGCCGAGGCTCTTCGTCTGGCTGAAAGCGAGAACCTCGTCTACGTCCCACCGTTTGACCATCCTCTGTTGTGGTGAGTCGTTTTCTTCAAATGAGTCAGAATCACTTGCGTGTGGTGTATTATTTTACATAAATGGACACAGAATACAAAGAGTAGTGAATCGCTGAATCATTTCCTAAAGAATCATCTCATACTGAATCACTGTAGAGACTCACACTCCTGCTGTCTGCATTATTATCATGACAGAAGTGCTAAACTCCTGACTGTTTGCAGGGAGGGTCACTCCAGTATCGTCCACGAGCTGAAGGCCTCTCTGCCGTGCAGGCCGGGGGCTGTGGTTCTGTCTGTGGGTGGCGGGGGGCTGTTCTGTGGGGTGATGCAGGGGCTGGATGAGGTGGGCTGGGGCAGTGTGCCTGTGCTCTGTATGGAGACTTTTGGGGCAGACTGCCTCAACGCAGCCATCAAAGCTGGACATTTAGTCACTCTACCAGATATTACCAGGTAATAACTCCTCTAAGTACAGCACCTCTCAAACATGTACACCATGTAAAGCAGTTTTTCAGTGTACACAATAAAAATAACTGTAATAGATAATATTAGTGCTTCACATCTTTCAACCAATTATGAAACTAAACAGAGAAGTCTTGATTCGATTACTATCCAGAATGAGGTTCTAACAAAATTGATATCCAGAGTGAAGTTATATTATTTTTATTTTAATTTTAATTTTATTATAACTTTCTTGAATTAATAGCTAGAATGAAGTTCTAATAGTTACATTAAAACTTCATTTAATCAATATCCAGAATGAAATTCAGAACAAAGTTCTAATAAACTTTATATCCAGAATAAAGTTATACTATTTTTATTTTAATTTTTCAACTTTTTTAATTAATATCCAGAACGAAATTCTAATAGAATTAATATCCAGAAGTTCTAACAAAAATGAACATCTAGAATGAAGTTTTAATAAGATAAATATCCAGAATGAAGTTACAATAATTAAATTTAAATTTCATTCTGGATAGGAATTTTATTAGAACTTTATTCAAATGATATCCACAATTAAGTTCTAATAAAATTATCACAAATGAAACGATAATAAAGTTAATATTCAGAATGTCCTGTATTATAAAAGTGGTGATCAAATTGATCAAATCAAGTCGATCATTGCAGTGTGTTATTTATCACTGAATAACTTCTTGTAATGCGTGTAAGTGCTTAATATATTTAATAAAATGGGTACAAATACCTTCTGATGTGCAGTTTGTACTAATTATATCTATATTATATATGATATTATACATACGAACACTAACATGGCTCATCTGAGCAGTAGTGCGTGTATAGAGTCTCATTGCTCTGGACTGAATGGTGGTCTTTGTGCTGGTTTGTTTGTTAGTGAGGCAAAGTGTTTAGGAGCGAAGACGGCCTGCAGTGCAGCGTTTGAGTACAGCAAACGGTCCAACGTCATCTCAGAGCTCGTGACTGACCGGCAGGCTCTGCAGGCAGTGGAACTATTCCTGGGTACATTTTTACATTTATACATAGATTTTATTACAAATTAACTGTTTACTCTAATTATACTTTACCAAAACTAACGTCTGGCTTTTTCCCTAAGCTACCCATCCATACAGGTTTTCTGTGTCTCAGCTTCTCTTCTATGTAAGCATTTTATTATTGCAATGCAAACTTTTTACTCTGTTGGAGGTGGGGCTACTTTTTTGGCCATAGAAAGTCACAGACCACCCTTAATTTAGTGAATTTCCAGTCAAAATGGCCAGTAAGTACAAGTTATTGCTTGGTCAGGAGATTAGATATAAGATAATCTACTTGCACAAGGAAGAAGAAAGACAAAGTTTCCAAAAACTGATTAAAAGCTACAGAGAAAATGTGGCTCCTAACAACCACCTGGAAGACCTGGTAGACACCAAAACTGCCCCCCATCAGATAAACAGCACTTAAAGCTTTCATCTCTGAGAGAGAGGAGAAAATCAAGCTGCTTCAGATCTGAAAACATCCACAGGTGTTTCTGTCCATCCTTCCACTGTGAGAAGACGACTCAGCGCTGTGGGTCTGAAAGGATGTGTAGCTGTCAAGAAGAACCTCACTGAGAAAAGGAGACGGACACATCAAACAAAGAAGCTGAACAATGGACTGACCACCCCAGAGTCCAGACCTCAACACCACTGAATGTGTCTGATTGCATCGCCATTTCTACATCTCCAGCTAACATGGCTAATCTACCTTACTGTACCCTGATAGCTGTGAATTTTTCCACAAAGCGTTTATATCCTTTATTTAGTTTGGACGCCCACATTGCTGTGTGTTTGATTCTCCAGTTTTAGACACATCCTTCAGTTTCAATCTTGGCAACTATGACAAAGATGAAGTGAGACTCCTTTTGGTGGTGGCTGAAGTGATACGAACGCCTGTATTTCTGAGTAACTGTCTGTAAGGCAGCCTGTCCAGGATGTGTCCTGCCTTCTGCCCGATGACAGCTGGGATAGGCTCCGTTTCCCCCCACGACCCAGAAGGATAAGCGGCTTAGAAGATGTGTGTGTGTGTGTGCCTGTAAGGCAATAACGGAACTTGTTTTAACCAGCATTTACACACTTGTTTCTTGTGAAAAGGGTCTCTCCTCGTCTATGAATGAACGAATATGTTACCACCACACTGTTTACTCGTAACGTCTGCTGGTGTGTTTTATGAATCTGGTTCAGTGTGTCTTGTCAGCTACATGGTGATGTCTGACCTGATTAAGGGCTCATTTGTAACGTGCTAATTGTGTCAGATAACACTGTCTGACCTTTGAGACTCTGTTGTTGGAAGCCTTCATTCTGTGTGTGTGCAGATGAGGAGCGTGTGCTAGTGGAGCTGGCGTGCGGAGCGTCTCTGGCCGCGGTGTACAGCGGCGTTATCCAGCGGCTGCAGGACGAAGGCCGACTGCCCAAACCGCTCGGCCTGCTGGTGGTCATCGTCTGCGGGGGCAGCAGCGTCAGCCTCGCTCAGCTACAGCACCTGAGGACGGTCTGCAAATAATCAGAAAACTACAACTCCCATGATCCCATGAACAATAGGTTTTCACCTTAAATACATGTTTGGTGTCTGAAGTTTTGCACTGAAGCTATGAGGCTAATGTAGCTAACCAGTATTAGAGGCTACACACTGACACTGTATGACATGCACTGTAAAATATATTTTGCTGTAAAGTTACAGTAAATTACTGGCTACTGGTTGCATTACTTTCACAATCATTTACTGAACCATATTAACAGTAAACAACAGTGAAATAACAGCTCTACACTGTGACTCTGCAGTGACCTCCACAGGATTACTGTGACGTAACTGCAGTCTGCGGTAATACGGTAATAATCTGTAATTTCCAGTATTTTAACATATAAAATACACATCCTCTACAGAGAACACACTTCTGCACATTTTAGTGCAAAATTACTGTTTATTTACTGAATTTACCATATTAGGGAAAAAAAAACATAAAATCTAGCATGTGCGAAAGTTATGGCACATTTTGTATTTTTTTAACAAGTTAAACTCTGCAAATAAATAGAAATTGAGCACTAAAAATAGCAAATTTATGCATATTTATGTTCCCTGTAGAGGATGTGTTAACTTATCTTTACTTAGAAAATCAACAGCAACATATAACTTGACCAGGGTTGTTTAAACTGCATATACCTGTGTTTATTCACCACGTTTTGCACGAAGTACACACAAAACTTCTCTTAAAGTGAAAATGCACATTAACCTCATAGTGCTTTTGCACAAACTACATCTACTGTGAAAAATCTCTGTTAAATCTTGTCGTTAATTAACAGTGCGCTGTTTGTTATGAATATGGGCAAACATACTGACAAACTTTAGGCTGCAAAATGGCTGCTACTGTTTTAAGCTATGAGCTGTACTTTTGTCCGTCTTCATAGACAGCAGTAGGCCAGTGTCTTATTTTGGAGTAACAGGAAAACTTTGAAAACTCTGTCTTTCTCCAAACTTTTGTTTTCTCGCTGTTTTTCTACTTTCTATTATGATTTTAGTTCTTTTTAAAGTTTAACATAAAACACAGTGTTCTGACAAATATTCAGAATCAGAGATGTCAAACTTCAGTACACTTATGTAAAACTGTCCCACTGCCTTTAAAGGGAAACTACACAATTTTTAAAAAATTTCTGCATGATTAGCCTTGTGTGGTGTTCATGTGTTTGTTACTCAGTGGTCTGCTGGACCCACTGCATTAGAGTTTTTAAATCAACACAGCCATAACAATTTATGTAAAAATACCAGATGTTTCAAAATATCAAGTGTCCAGCGTAGGGTTCTCCTTTAGCAGCTGTAGCCAGTCAGCAGCCTGTCCATGTTGTCCACCCTCACACACACACACACACACACATATACAAACACACACACACACACACACACACACACTAACAGCAGGCCATGTAGGAGGAGAACAGAGTGAAGGACACAGCACCTCCACACTTTTACTCCCCGCGGGTTCAGCCCAACACCACATGTGTAATATAAATGTGTGGGGGGTGAACAGAGTGAAGACACTGAAAATAGGTTATTTTATATGTTCTTCACAGAAAATGAGCAAAGAACAAGAATCTGAGGTTGAAATAATAATAAATCGCATCATTTTTCTTTTGGTAAACATTGAAAATGGGTCCCCACAGACCTGAACACCACACAAGGGTTAAATGGTTGAGATGTAAACATTGATTCAACAGTGACTCAGAGTGGTTTGGTGTGAAACTCTCTGTTCTAGAGAAACTTACCGAGTCAGAATTGTTCACAGTGGTGGTGATAGGAACCAGACGCCTGAAGAATTTGTCTCTGAAAGCATAACTAACATGAAATGCTAATGCACTACCTGAGAGATAAAGAGTTCTCTCATTGTTTACTGTTGTAATAGCATAACACACACACACACACACACACACAGGCTAGTTCTCATTGTGAGTTGTTTATATGCTTCATAATGGTGCTCTATTACAGCCACCAAGGGGAGATAAAAAGCTCTATGACTTAAAGGTGATTTCCACCAATTTCAGAGTGGTGGTGAATGGAACCAGATGTCTGAAGAGTTTAATGGTTATAAATACACTACCTGATCTCTGAGACACTGTTTTAGAATAGTTTCGAGATAGAGATTAAAGATTAAAAGTAAGTGAAATAGTAAGAAAACTATTTTACCATCATCAACATTCCATATAAACTCAGAAGACTCGTGTAGGTTCACTGGTGGTTTTGGATAGTAAATAAAATGTCTATATTAGTGTTGTAGTCATGGCGACCCCTGGTTCCTATCACCACCGCTGTAAAGAGTCTCTACAATCAACCATTTCACACCAAACCACTCTGAATCACTCTGTTTACGTTAAAACATTAAAATTATGATGCAATCTTGGAAAATCAGTGGAATTCCACTTTATCTACTCCAATAATAAAACAATGTGACCAGCAGAGAGTGCTGATACTGTACTAAACACCTAATACTTTACAATGTCATTAAAACTGACTTCATCCTACTAGAATTAGACTTTAATGATGGCGGAGTTATTAGAGTATATGATAGAGTATAGGGTGTTGCTGATGGATTAAAATGTGTCCATTAAGGAAATCTAAAGAAAAGGATATTTTATCACATCAGCTCAGTCATTAAGCTTCAGGACAGCGAGGACAGTCAGTGCTTTTTATTCTATCACTGCTTCCTGCACAGCTGCTCCGGGTTATAGTTTAGTTGGGAAGCCAGTAAGCAGACCTGGGTTCTGTTCCTCGTAAACTGGGGCCACATTTAGTAGGAGATACCTGAGACCCAGTCAGTGAGTGAGTAGGTGGTGCACTGTGGAACTGTTCAGCTTTATGGGTGCTGCTTTAACCTGAACAGCGGTTTAAACACTCCTCATTCAAAACTACCTTCAGTGAATAAAATCCACATAAACCACAGGAAATACACAGTAATTGTGAATTAAAATGTGTAGATAGATAGATAGATAGATAGATAGATAGACTTCAGCTACACCCATTCAGTCTGATGTTTTAGGAAGGATTTCAGATGTGAGTGCTTTTTGATTAAGGTGCAATACAGAGCAGCCAATCAGAGCAGAGCTCATTTACATATATCAGTCTTACAGGTGCAGTAACAAAAACTGCCTGTTTAATTATCAAGGATAAACAGAGGTTGGAAAATGGTCATGTAGAAATTATTCATGACTGTTTTTGGTACAGAAACCACATCTATATCAGTAACTATCAGTTATTAAAGGTACAGTATGTTTTTTTTTCTCCTCCTGTAAAGTTTCCATTTTGGAGATACGAGGTTTCGTTCCGACAGCAGCGATATACAAGTAATGACTGCACAAAACATATAAACTAGTTAACCACTCAAATGGTCAGGGCCTACAGGAGGCCCAAAGTTTTATTACACACTTCTACAATCAAAGGACAGCTCACCCAAAGTCCCTGTAGTTACTGAATTATAAGCCTTAGTATGTAATAAGCCTGAGATTTTAAGAGATTAAAGGAGAGTATATGCTCTAATAACATTCAAATAATATTCTAATAATTACTAGAATATGCATACTAATAATTATTATTATACTTTACTTTTTATTTATACATAGATTTATAGATATAAAATATATTTAGTATCTGCTGTTAATTATTCAGTAGCTACTATAAAAGATTCGGGATTATTTATTCAGTATCTACTATGAATTATTCAGTGTCTACTATGAAACTGCTGTGTATGTTGTGCAGTTATACGAGTGAGGAAGTGAAATTTAGACCCACATACATTTAATTTGATGTTTCAGCATAATTAATATAATTCTTACACACTCAGGAGTCACTGGCAGGTCCAAACTTCTGTTCTTCACTGCTTTAGTGTAAGAAAAAGTCAGACAGTCATGTATTTACAGAATAATAAGGCTGAGATACAGAATAATAAGGCTGAGATACAGAATAATAAGCATGTAATCAGTGTGGGATTTAAGGGATGCAGTTACACACAAACTGCCTTTAGTTAACATTCGTATTACAGGTTTTAGTTAGTTTAGTTGTTGTTTACAGTCACTGATCATCACTCTTTAAAGAGGTGCCTATGCACGTATACAGACGTGTTATCTATTTGAGAAGCCCATTCGAAGGCGTATAAATAAGAATTGAGCCTGAATTTAAAGAACCTCACTTGGCTTAGGTGTCCACTGACACCCTTGACCATTACTGTACACTGTGCAGTCTAAAATCATGAGGGTTAAGTGGGGATCAAAGCCAAAGGAGTGGGCACAGTAAATACCAAAAAATCGGATATTATATTTAGTTGTTGAAGCTTCTGTATTTCATGGTGAACTGACCCACAGAAATGCTCAGACACTACTTGAAATATATATTTTTTTTGCATTGACCTTCATTAAAAGATGCTGTCTGCTTTTTTCTTGACACTGAAAAATTAATGCTTACCTTGTAATTATTGACTGGAAATAAAGCGAATGAAGGGTCTCTGACTTTCGCACAGTACTGTACATTGTACACAGACCCCACATGAAGGGAACATATATAAATATTACATTGACGCTGTTATTACCTTTCATTTTGTGTACTTTTGGCAAAAATCTCTATGGCCTGATAAAGCCTATACTTTAAAAATAGATGGTTCTTCAAAGGTTCTTTAGTAAAGGGCATGGTACTATTTAGAATAATGAGTTCTGTGTAGATCCATTTGGATGCTTAAAGCGTTCTTTGCATGGTAAAACGGTTCTCCAGATTGATGACGAATGTGTTGAGTATGGTTCAACATAGCACCAAAAAGGTTCTGCTATTGTTATGATGTTGACCTTCACTTTTAAAAAAAGATGGTTCTTCAAGGGTTCTTTAGTAAAGAAAATGGTTCTATATAGATCCTTGAACACTCAAAGAACCCTTTGCATGATTAAAGTGTTCTTTGCATCATGAGATGGTTCTTCAGACTGATGGAGAATGTGCTATAGATGGTTTTATATAGAACCTTTTCGACAAGGGTGTTCTTCAACTGTTACAAGAATCCTTTTGGGTGCTACATAGCCCATTTTCAAAAGGGTTCTATGCGGAACACCTGCAGCACATTTTCCATCAATCTGAAGAACTATTTCACCATGCAAAGAACCATTTAAGCATGCACATGGTTCTTTGAGTGTTCATGGTTCCATATAGAACGGTTGTGTTTACTAGGGAACCCTTGAAGTATGTTTTTTTAAGATTTACAAGTAAAGCATTGTTGGTTTTTGGAGCCTCTCCGGTTCCTCCTTTCTGTGAATGATGGGGAATAAATCCTGAAGAAGGTGATCCATGATTGTGGATTTCCTGTCTTTCTTCTGTTGACGTGTTTCTGGCAGTAATAGTGCTGATATAATGTATCTTATTCATGTGGAAACGCTGTTTTTCAGTCTAGTTCAGATCAGTGTAGT